TAGATTTGTATATTTTGCTTTTCGAATGATTGTGTTTGTCTGAAGTTTGTAGGGTTTTCCGTATACTAGCAGTTATCACATTGCTAGAGAGGTTGGTCAGTTCCAGTGTGAAAATTGGTTGAGAATAGCTTAGGATTCAGAAATGTCAAGAGAAGACAGTTATTCGAGGGAGTAAATAATTAAATTGGTTGGTTAATAATAAGGGAAGTGTGAGCAGACTGGAGTATGGTAATAAAAACGGAACGGCGATAATATGAAATGAAGTAGGAATAAACTGATGACATGTTATGATGACTATGGTAAATAAGTTATCAGACATGCATGAGGTAATGTTAGCTATTCTGTTTGCGATAATCTTTAGGTGAGTACGTGTTTGTCGCGTCTCCTCATTAAGCTCTCTACCGGGGGGGGCTAGGCCGATTGGTCTGGAGGGGGGTGTATCTCGATTAGGAGCAACTCTTAATTTGAAAAGTAGTATCGCATACGGATTTTTCTCTTTGATGTGCAGTCTATTCGAGAGTTGTCTGGAGTGGCCTGACTGTGATGTTCTGGCAGGATGTTTGTGCTGGTGCGACTCAAAGTTCTTAGTGTATTGTGCTCCATTATCACATCACCTCATAGTCTCCTATAGCCCAGAGAGAATGGTCTTAAGCGTCGGAATTCATCTTCGTAATATTATTTTCCCAGGCCTATCACCATCCAGTTGACTATCTCTGTACTTAATCTATGAGGTTTATGTCTCTTTCGTAAAATAATGTGAACAACGTCGTAAATTTCCACGTCAGGTTGTGCGTATGTTTTAGAGTGCTAGATACAATGCCATGGGGATTCCGTCAAGCTACCTTCGTATAAAATGTGGAGTTGCATCTGCTTTGGTTCTCTTAGTGTCTGTGGCGGGTAGTCTCATATTACTCCTTGTGAAAACAACTGGACGAGAAAGTTACAATGCAGATTTTTAGTTTTGTGGACTTAAGGGCTTACTGCATACAACATAACATTATGACAGGTCAAACGTCAGGCTAATGATCGTCATTCAGTTGTAACAACTGAGGTTGATTGGTGACGAGTTGGCTGCAGACGTCTTAGTAATTTCAAAACATTATAGCCCAAGTATTCGTTCACTTCTTTATTGCGTACTCGCATTATGCTTCCTAATTATTTTGAATGTTGAGAAACTTTGTTCGTTTGAAAAGGGTAACCTCGTGCTCCAGCTATTTTGTCCCACGATCTGAATAAGGACCTGTTGACCACTAATCTGATTTTTTTTACCGACAGGACGAAGGGTACCCGCAGGTAATGTAGAAAAGTGAGTTGGTCGTTCTCGTTCATTATAGACCTCCATACCATGATTTCCTCAGCGTACGTGAGGGTCGGCAAACTTATTTTGTCTAGGAATTTGTCGACAAAATCAGTAAGCGAAATGGAGCTGAAATTGTCCAACGCGAAAGTTCGCGACTTCACAATTCGTGTGAACTCTGTTTACTGTAATACGTAACATCCAGTCCACAACGTGGCTTGTAAGCTAGGATAAAAGTGGGTTAGTAAAATTTTTATTGGTAACCCCCGTTACAAGGGGTACGTGGGGTACTGTGACAACTAATTTGTTCTGTCCAGGGATATTACATGGCACGATATCCCTTTGTTTCAGCAGGTTATTTATGTTTCTTGCAAGGAGATCATTAAGGCAAGAAATTTGTGTTGAACTCTATGAAGAAAATTGTTTTTATCCACATGTCACCTCAGTCATCAAACTGCAGTGGGATTTTTTCTAACTAAGCAATGTTTGATGCTGAACATATAATTACGGAGGAGATTTGCACTCAACATTTAGCACTATAGAGAAGATCAAAAACGGTTGACACAGATTGACATGGATCGACCGTGTGGGTGTGGCGTTTTATTCCTTTTTGTACTAGATATATATCGTTTTGTCCCAAGCCCAAATGTGTTTCCCATATATTCTAAATTTTGTAATGCTGATTGTCGTGGTATTACGGGTTGGTATGGACAATAATGTGACTTGCACATTAGGTCATATAGAATAGATGGTCATATCATGATAAATCAACAGTTCGGGGATTGTATCTATAATTCTATTGATAACTATAAGTGTAATAATAGCGACCACGACCATGACTCAACAAAACATCCCTTCCACAATGTCCAACATTATTGAATATACCACAACTGATCTTTGAAAGGTTGGGTTTTTCCTGACTTCTTTGAAGACTGGCATGCTATCAACTGACTTCCATTTTTTTAAAAGTTTCCTGAATTTTAGTGAGCTCCTTGATAAGTCACATGCCAGCCTCGTGTTGGCATCACTCTTCCATGGGTTACACATAGAAGATGATGGGAGGCGTCAAAGACACACATTTATTCTTTAATCTTTTTAAGCATAAACACAGTAACTATCTATAGTTATGAGAATGAAGAATATCATTTTTGAAACCCTTCACTAAGTTCTACAGTCATATTCATATAAGTTTCCAACGGGATAACCAGGTTAGGGGAGAGTACTCTTATTAAAATTATAGCATATGAATTTAGGATGTTGGGGTTATATTAAAGTGTTTAAACCTCGAAAATGTTTGATCCAGTCAGAGAACTGGAATTTACTTTTGGTTTCAAGTAACAGTACGTTTGTGAGACGGCTTCTTTGTGGTTACTAAACATCGCGCTAAGTGGTGATCAAGACTATTTCGCATATCTGGTCGCTGAAGTTAAGGTGAGCGAGAAAGACTTTATATACAGATTCTTCTCAGCTCATTAGATTTACATACCCTAAAATTCAAACTGACTGAACAGTCGTATGGTTAGGCGACAGGAGTCCTACAAAATGTGGATATTATAAAGCACCAGAGTTGATTCTGAACTGTCTACTTAGTTTCTGAGGTCAAGCAAAGTGCCATAAGATACAATTCTTGGGTTGGTTTTTCGCTCTTCAAAGAAGATCTATCGGATGATTTCGAATTTTGGGGGCTTTTGTAGGAGAATGATTATAAGACTTGAGGGGTTAAAATGAAAATGTCAATACTCAATAAGGAAACCGCAACATAGGTAGTGATGAATATCGATAAAAAGCAGTATATGAGGAACGTCGATGGTGAATTCTAATATCGAACTGCTCTCGAACATTCTTAGGTGTTATTAGAGTAATATTTTTCACTAACAAAATAATTAGGTAGTGCTGTTTTCATATGGTATAAAACATGGAAGTTAACTCTCTGCAAATAAAAAGACCATTAGAAAATTAAATAACAGGCCATAAGCAAAAAATGGTATTCTGCTTCTGACCAAGAAAACTACAGCTAAATACGTCTGCATATTACAACAATTCTGCCAAAATCTGATGCTTTGAAAGAAGCGTAGCAAACTATGTTGTAGATACTCAAGTGATAACAATTTTTCTTTCTACGGATTAGTAAAACAACCTGTTCACAAAACTTTTCGTTCGCAGTTTGTTTAAACGCATCATATTGGTAGATTATATCGCATTAAAAATATGAGTATATTTGAATGACATATCATTATCTGCAACTAATATGTTTTCGTGGTCTTTTATCATCAATAATAAATTCATGTAGTTTCCACATTTCCAGTCTAAATTACAGAAAGTGGAATACATGGTTATTTTTGATGATAAATTTGGATGGATATTCTTGTGTTGTGCAATTTTGTACCTCTTGATACATAGTTTGAATTCTTTTGAACTCAATGATGAAAATATTCCTCTGCATTTTACATCAGAGAGCTCGTACTTAATTGTTCCAGAAGGGGAGCAGGTTTTACTTCCTTGCAAAACAAATGTTTTCTCTGAAGCATTAATATCTTGGTACAAAGATGACATTAGAATAACTGAAAATCTTACTTTTTCTTTTCGTCTCCGGTCAGCTTATCGTGAAGATGCTGGATATTATCACTGTGTAGTAAAAACTAATTATGGGGGGATCCGTAGCCGGAAAGTCAAATTAGAGATCGGTTGTAAGTTAATTTTGTTATTTATATTCACGTGCTTACTGAATTAACGTTTTTGTGATTAATGTCGGGTTTTCATTAAGTACTCGTTTGAAGAGTTATGTCATGGGTGTATGTGTTAAAATTTATGCCTATATATGGTGATGGCTAATAACAATTTGTTATATATGGCAACATTCAATCTCCAAGTATTTTGTTAGTGATTTTGGTCACAGTTGAAAGTGAATACCAACTTTGAACATATGCTACAAAAAATTATGTTGTGTAGAACTTCAAATGGTGTCATGAAGATATATATTGATTCAGGGATTCGATCGATGCATTTACAGCTAAACGTTTCATTTCGTAAATAATCTTACTTATTTCGATATATTAACAACTTGAAAATATTGGACTACTGTGTTAAATTTTGAGCAATCTTTGAGTTACAGTCATTGTGTATAGACTTTGAATATATAGTCTTTGAAAAATTGTACTTTTGAAACTGAACCTCTGTCCCATTTCTTCGAGATATAAATTTTGTGAAACATAAAGTGATCATTTTTCATTTGATATATTACAGAGGAGGATATCAGAATATATTAAACAATTTTGTTCATCATTTATCATCATAGCTGCGATCAGTGTCTGCGTAATTGTATTCAACCTTCCATGCATTGGTGTCTAGTCCGAAGGTACTTTGTGCACCAAACAAGAATATAGGGTTTCAAATCACAGTTTTGACGTTAATAGAATTTACTGCATACTCAGCAAAGATATGCTTAATTAGTTCAACATCCTGAGTAACAACAAAGTTTGGTGATATTTAAATAACTGTCAATCATATTCAAATTGTCGCCGATGTTTCCTTCCGACCTTAACTTTATGAATAGAGTGAATATTGTATTTATAAAAAGCAGAAGCTATACTAAAGTAGCCATGCAGTCACATTATTTTGAATAAAACGCATTAGTTTTTTGTGAATAACTACATTTTAGGTTATTAAGTAGGTCTCGTTTTAAAAGTATGTACTTGTATATCGCCTTCAATAACAAATTCTGACAAAGAAACCTAATTCTCAGTTTAAGATTAACCCTAGTTTTACAATAGATGTCTATAAAATATGTGATTTCTCATGAATAACTAACTGAAAACACTTACCGACGAAGTATCTTTTATTACTATGCTCAAGAATATAATGGGGAGTTATCTGTTGTTATTTTCAGCTGTACATGTATCTGCGGAATACAATGATAAGATTTCTGGGCAGATTATATTGGTTGTCGAAGACCATATGTAATTCTAATTGGAGCTTATAACAGTAGCCGAAGTAGGCTCTTGTTTTGTCACTGTGCTGAAACCTCTCAACATTTTATTGAGTTTTATTGATATCTTTTTATTACCATTACTTCAAACCTTTTGTTCACATGGCGCTTTTTATTGGTGAATCCTATCCGTATGAAGTAAAATGACTTACGTTTTTGGTTTCTTTACTGATGTTCCTCAGAGGAACAACAGTAATTGATTTTGGCCACCTTGACGACTTTTTTTGGTTGTAGTCAAGAATAATAATGGCCAACTTAGTGGTTTATTACCACCTTGTATGTACGAACTTACTGATTTTATGAAATCGTTCTTCGTTTATAGTTTAAATGTCACTTTATTTAATGTTCTTTTGGGACTGAAACTAAATGACTCCAGGAGATAATAAGATACATCACAAACTAGATTTTATCATAGACATTCTGTGTTAGGGATGGAATAAAAATCTTGTCTATCAATAGCAGAAGAAATCAAATTCTTGGCATTATTAGCTTTGGGTTTTAAGTTATTATATTTTGTTCATCAGTGTTTAGTTCCATGTTATACCAGTAAAGTGGTTTTTTCCGCTCAACATATGCAAATAGCACCAATCTATTTAAAAAAAGATTAAACATCAGCTGTAGTACGATTTTCAATATTCCTAATGTAAAGAGTTGAGCAATTAGCATGTTAATGTTTGAAATGTGACTGATTATCCAGGATAGTCTTGTTCTCAGATAACTTCTAGTGTTAGGCGTGTACTCAAATAAAATTCAAAGTATTTCTCATGAAAACCTGCAAACGAGTCATAAATGTCTCTTTTCTAATTTAGATCAGTAAATTGATAGCTTACAATGATTGTTTCAACTTTCTATGAAAAGATTATTGAAATGAATACTGCAAAGTGAACACATGTATCTTCTTATCCGAGTAAAATCATACACGATTTTGTAATGCTTTTAAAGAAAACTATTATTGTTGTCGACCTAAAAAAGCAGCAATCGAATTTCTGATAAAAGGTTTGTTATATATTATTGAACTTGCACCTCTTATGACCAAACCATAAACAAACTTGATGTAGAAAGGGTAGAACGAAACAGGAAATGTCTTCAAATATTTAAAAAAGGCAATTAAAATAAACACACAGATGGTGACAGCATATATATCATAAAAACCCTGTCGAGTTTCATCTCTGACTGAAGAAATTTATTATTTAATGGTGGAAAAGTTCTAACACTAACATTTCCAGAGTCATTTTTAATGGTACTGTATTTAAAGACGATCGAAGCTTAATTATCAAACTATCTGAATCAAATAGTCAAGGATCATTAAAAATGATTTCTTACATAATTGTTTGAAGGCCACTCACTGGTGTTCTTAATTATTATTTACTAATTGGTAGTAAATTGTAATCTCGATGAATAATGTCCGAATTTTCAAATGATTTTGAAATTAAGACTTGAGAAGGTTATTACTTATGGGTTACAAGTAGTGTAGCTGTTTTTTTATTAGGAAGTCAATTCCGCTTACGTTTGGTATTAAATTACTACTATTTTTTAATTTTTATCTCAACAGATCTTGATCCACCATCTAAAACCAAGGCGCGTTCATTTATTGAAGTAACTCTAGATCAAGCTGTTATAATTTGGCCTGGTTCACTACATCAAGATAAACGAAAGCAGCCATTTCAACTGGAAAGACGAAATGGATTGTGGAAATCAGTATTCAACCCAGCAAACGAAACAAACAAAGCTTTATCTCCTTCATATTATTTACAAGCAGTACCGTTCCCACAAGCTATATGGACTATAAACAATGCCCCAATACCTAGTACATTGAATATTTTTGTTAGTCAGTTGGAACAAGCTATAGTATTGCTTAATATTGATAAAGAAATGGATTCAAAAGTGATTAGAGCACGATTGATCAATGGCTACGGAAGAGCAAATAGTGAAGTATTCAGTCAGACACATATAATCCAAGTTAAAGGTAAGTAACAACAATTTTGACCTATAAATATCAATGTTAAATCATTTATGTATCTGGAAATTTATGATAAAACTACTGTGTAATCCGCAACGCTCATAAACTATAATGAAGATATTATTCCTGAAATTTCAAAATTTCTTAATGTGTCAGCGTATGCAAACTTGAGGTAGAAAACAGCGTTTGAAATATTCTTGCCCACTTTGGGACATAACTGTCTTGAGGTATACTAACAATACTGCTCTATCAATTTAGTTAGTTTGTAAATATTTTGTTTGTTAGTAAACTTGAAGTCATCTTGAGCTTCTGAATTTTTACAATCACCGAGACAGATTATATAAATAGTTTATGACATTTTTAAGATCGGCGATAAAAAGCCGGGAATAATTTCGAAGTTAAGAAAAATATGTTTACCGAGTGTTAAACTTCAATGTTGCATTTTACCGTGTTTCAGTATTGGAGGTATTTCAGGTTTATTTGCAAGAAGCTGACCTATTTCATCGCAATTGTTAGTTTCAATAGTGTGTACAAAATCATGAAATGATATTCTTATTTTCCAGGATATTCACCTCATGCAAGATATTATTTCTTCTTTGTATATTTTGAAAATAACCGTTGAAAAGAAACTGATGTGCTTAGGTTAAGATTTTCATTTTACAGAACATTGATGGTTCATATATAACAAAAAGCGGATAATTTATGAACTTATTGTGAGAATACTTTAAGACTTAGCATCTATATTCCATCAGAAATGCTTAACAGTTTCAGTATGACATTGAAAGGTTTATATAATGAGATGGAAATGAAGCTACTTAAATTTGTCAGTTTCTTATCTTTTAGGGAGACTGCCTTCAAAAATGGTTAGTTGATTCTTAATTCATTATTTTATTACGGTTTATCATGAGACAGATGGAAGATTTTTGCTATATTTTATGAAAATTACCTAATATATGAACTTTAGTAATTTAAAGGCCGTTCATTGTCATTTTGTTCATTTAACTACGTGCTTCTATAAAATTTTGTTTAACAGATCCACCTGGAAATATGGCCACCAATTCTTTAGATCTTGTCTTACCTCCAAAAGATGTGTCACTTACTTTAAAAGATGACCAACCAGGGACAGCCGTCTTTGAATGTGTATTTAATGCAAGGTAAGTGAAAAATAGTTAAAGTTTTATTAAAATATATTGGTGTTTGGAAAGGAGGGAAGTGAAAAGCATCAGAGAATAAGGCTTGTCACTGCTTTTAAAAAAGATGTTGAGACCATTGGAAGCACATACTATTAAAAACTACTCTGGATAATACATTAAACAAGTTGTTATTTTTTATCAGACTATTAAGTATTAATGATAGGGGAGGAAATACTTAACAAATAATTAACAGCGAACAGTAATTATCTGTCAAATGACCATTTCACAAATGTATTTTTATCATATACATTAGAATTCCTAAATTTACCATTGTCATAAGCAAGAATACTGATTTCCTCGATTTTAAATAATATTAGAAGATTAGAAGGAGTGAACAGTGATGTATCTTTCGAGTGTTCAACAATCAAATATTTGAATGTAGAGGGTTTAAATTTCATTGATATAAATATAAGTACTCGTTCAGTGGACGTTATTAAGATTAATCAATTGGGTTGCATAATAACAATATAGACGACTAGCCTGATACTTTTGGTTATTGAAACAATGCAAATACTTTTGTAGATTGCTACTATATTTTGACAAGATTTGTCAAAATACATGTCATTAGTTTGTAGCTTTACACTCAGCCTTTTTATGTATAATGAGAAAGTTAGTAGACTAGTTGGGACGAGCTTAGTCAGTACAGAGTACAGTTACTATGGAAGTGATGGCTATACAAGAATAAAAACCTCGGTTGACTTCGAAAACGTAGACTGTATGATGTAAAAGTGGTGTTCACTTGTATATCCCCTGTTGAACATCTCACTCATTTGTTTGTAAATATTCCATCTCCTATGATTAATTACACTCGTTTATGCACGTTGGTCTTGTGCAATATTTAATTTCATGTTTAATCTTTAATAATGATTAAATTCAACTATTCAGGTTGTAGTGTGGTAACTGGTTTTAAGTAATTGGATCTCAGAGTGCATTTTGCATAGTCTCAGATGGCTGAATTTAAGTAACTGAAGGTCACACACTTAAGTTTTAATAACTACTGAGTTTACGCGTTAGAAGGTAGTTTGAATCTTAAGTTGAACTGATTGTCCATATGGGATTGCAACCGGAAACATCTTATATAATCTTATATCACAGATATTATCTTCGAGCTACTCATGTTGTGAGTAATCTCTTTATGAAGAATCTATTTAGATCAATTCATCAAATTAGTCTCTTGGAAGACTTCCTTTTGGTAGGAGAAGCTCAAAATATTTACCATCAGCGCGGTTAGTAAAAGGTCGTTTCTTCATTAGAATTTGATCAACTCATATGATTACCTTTTTAATTCTTCTTCAGAGGCTTAAATCTAATTTTTTCATAGTGAATAGGTGATGATAATTTTTAATAAAATATTTACTTTATATACAAGTCACTCTTCACGTTGTAACAACTCACAGAAGAAAGAAAAGTATACATAAGAGTTATAGACTGTTTATTATTGAACACCGATACAATTTTATTCTCTGATAAAAGAGCTTAACAATTACGAATAATTGTATATTAGAAAGAAAGATTACATAGTAAGTAGTCTGAAAATTTTATATTATAAGTGAATAGTTCAACATCTCAAGAATCTCATAGTAACGTATAAACATTAGTAATGGAAAGAATAAAAATTACTTTACTGTTCTTTTTGTTTTGTAAGACACTAAACTACTGAATTATATCAGTTTAACAAGATAAACCATTGAATATAGAAACAAATATGCAATTCCTGTGTATGTAAATTTTAGTAAACTAGTTCGAAACTGCTTTCATTTATGAATAATCTTACTAAAAGAGTTCATATTAAGAATCGTCTATAGATAAATGTAAATACAAAATAATACTGTAAAGATGTATCAAAGTTATCGGTCTGAATAAAACATTTAAACAAATGCTGAAGAGTCCCATACTAGGACGAAACAGCCGTCTAATGCTCTCAGGTTTTCGACGGTGGTCTAGCTTTAATCAACTCATGAATTCAACTATTAATTGTAAGTTTTTTTCTCTAAAGTTTAAAACAAATTTGTGCAGTTTGTTAAAAACGGTTTATCAGATTTTAAGTAATTGACTAACCCCCATTGGTTATGATTATTAACAATAATCTTTTACAAATTACAGTATATTTATTATTTATGATGATATTGGTTTGAAAGAAAAGTACATAGTTGTCCAGTTAAATCATTTAATTTATAAAAAATATCTGATTGAGTATTTAATGAATAAAAGGCACAATAGAAAGCGTAGTGACATTTTAAGTTGTTATGAAAACCAACTAAAATTCAAGTGTATTACTGGTCACTAAAATGATATTCCATTTTTTCTTATGTAAATAATTCCAAAGATGTAGGTACATTCATGTTTAATCCTCTGATAATTAATATGATATTTCTAACTATAAAAATTACTGTCTATTTGTTCAAAGTATCGGTTACCTTAGTAACAAAGTAAAACCGTTGTTCCCGTTTATGCTGAATAACTATATAGCGCTAAGAAATATGAATACTCATACTGTACTGAAAGATATTTGTTATTCTTCTAGTATGAATAATTTATAAGTTGTCTAATCCAATCGATATGTCCAGATAAAAGAATACAGCAAAGACATTTTTAGTATTACTTTTTAAGAAACAGTGGTTTCCCGGTGAATGAAATAATATAAGTTTATAAACTATAAGAAAGATTAGTTTTATATTACTTGATTATAACTTAGTTAAGATTTTGTAATTTTTTACATTATTCTGCTTTTATTTACATCAAAATAACTAATGGTAAGATGACGCAATTAAAGATAAATGTAATAATGTTGGACCCAGAAAGAACTATAAGGAAATAGAAAAGAGAATTACTGGAGGTATTCTAAAAATCTTGCGTTTAAATCTAAAAACAACAACCCATCACTATGTTTTTACATGAGATCAAGAGTAGATAGTAAATGTCTACTCACTAATGTATAACAAAATGAAATGAAGAGAAAAAGAACGGTTTGATCAATAAAGAATTTAAGTTTGCCGTACAAACTGTTTACAGAATTTTATTCATCCATTTTGAATTAATTTAGAAATAAACGTTGTATTGACTTCTTGTAAAAAGGAGAAAAGAAAAAACAATCATTTTTCTTATCCCATTTAAAGTAATCAAAAGAAGAAAAAAAAAACTGCCAGTTTTTAAGGTGAAATGAAAGTAAGAACTTTAGAATTGGAAATGTGGTTAAAAAAGAAATATGGTTACTTATTGTAATATGTCGGTTTCAATTTTATAATTAAATAAGAGCTTTGTAATGCTTACATGGAAAATCGGAACTCTTAAATAATTTATTGAATAAATGGCTTGAATAATTAAGTAATTAATTAATGCTTTCTGCTTGTTACTGATATATGTATATATGGCAGATAATTATAGTTTGTAAAGTAATCTAAAAACATTGAAGAATTTTAAATTATGTTCTACAGATTGAACTATGAAATCGAATTGTAATTTACTAAAGGTTTGAGGTTAGCCAGTTACTCTTCAGTTAATGATTCCTGTGTTTTACTGTTATTTTAATACTAAACAAGCAATTTCTCATACATCGGTACATTGTTTGGGTGATTACATTTTCTATATCCTAATGAAATCAAACTATACTATTTATGATAGATGAATGAGGAATAGTTTGTCTTTATTTGGTAGAGATGGTCTATGGAATTATGAATCTTCCCTTTTTAACACTTCTTTTATACCATTACTCTTTTAGTCAAGGGTGTCTAAGATAGTTTAGTTCATAAATAATAAAATGCTGTATGAACGGGCGGTAAATTTAACCTAAATATATTTCAATCAAGTAGAATAGGTATATTCAGTTTGAAAATTCAAAATTAAGTTTCATGTTAGTCTCATGTTAACTGGGTTCTCGTCATTAGCGGAGAGTAGCAGTAATAGATATTCATAAATTTAAATATGTCAAACATTAATTGATATAAAAGATTTTTAGATAATAACTAGATAGATACTTTATTTCTAGACACCCGATTTTCCCCCACATCTATGATAAAAAATTCAGTGCATTAATTTATTATCCTTTCCTGTTGTAAATTTGATTGACAATAACAGTTGGTGGTAAACAGACTGATAGAACATTTAACAAAGGAAATAACAACAAAAAAGTCAAGAAAAAACTACCTAGAAAAATTAAAACAATTCAGTAGTCTATAATTTTTGCTTTGTAATCCTTAAAGAGTAGATCTATGGGTTTGTCTAGATGAATAAATGATCGGACGATATAACATGTGTTAACATACAAACAGTAATTATTGTTTCAATATGATTTAACAATATAACTCAAAGAATATGCACTTTTATGTGTCGATTAGTATCATTTTATGGTTAACATAAAGATACCTATAGAGATAATGCTATCAAGATATATATCTTATTCACCCATTAAAATAATGCATGAAAATTATCGTGGGTTAAAACTAAGATGAAATCAACACTTTAAAAGTCGCTATATTTAGTATGTTTGTTGCATATTATAAGTTTTCTGAGAAGTCTTGACCTTCATGACCACTTTAATAATATATTTATGTGGTGAGACTATAATTAATGTACGAACCAATGAGATCTAGGATAACAGGTCTTGGATTTTAGAGCGAAGCTCCTTCATTCATTTGGCTAAATAACATTGTGGCATTTTAGCTGATGTCAATTCATGATATAAATCCTTCATCTAATTGCTAACCCTAACTATCATCTGAAAATTATAATCCTAATTACTCATACTAGTTAGTAAACTTCATTTAACTTTGGTGGACATTCTCACGGCCACGTTAGCGTCGTTTGAAAATCATTCATAAATTGTAATCTCACCATAAGGTTTTCTAGTACTTATAAATTCAATCTGATCGTTGATTGTAGTACTCCAAAGCATAATAAATATTAACTCTCTAATTTTAAATATCCGATAAACATACTGTCTAACACTGAAATGCCTCCAAGATTATCAAGCGAATTGATAATCGATTCAATTGTGCTTGATCGGAATTTACCTGATATCAACAACTTTCAAATGTATAACAATGATGATATAAATGAATTATTCTTTTAGTAGATTTTCTTTAATAAAATTTATTATTACATATTTCTCAATAAAGATAACTGATTCAATTACATTTTACTATATAAAATGGATTTAATTTCAACTCGTTTCCATGTCAAATTAATTTTTTTCTTTTTTGCATATTAATTCAATTAAAAATATAAACATCTTTTTGTTGTTGTTTTTTCTGTCAGAAAAATATAATGGGTCAGTGTCATAATGGAGATTATTCTTCTGGTATATAATTGAAAAGAAATAAACCTTCCTTAGAAATTAAATGAAAACTGTACATATATATATCTATATATGTGTTATATCTAGAATTTGAATTTTAGTTATACTGTGTATCACTTGAGCACTCGAACTCTTGAACTCTCCAAGTTGGAAGTTAGAAGATAGGAGATGAATGGATAGAATTCGTTTTTCAATTAGTCAAAGACGTTACAAAGCACTCAGGTATTTATAGTCTTTTAGTAAAAACGAGATCACCGTTAAAGTCATTTTATCTGCTTGCAGTGGTGTTTAGCATTTGTCCAATTGGGAAGCTACATGTCAAGATACTAGAATGTTATTCCAAATGTTGATTGGATGGAATACCTTCGAGTGTTTTAGAGGTTTTTGAGCTTCCTTGAGTTGACCGAGAGCCGTTACCACAATATATATATGTTGATAGTCTTTTTTGAATTAGTTGCTATTAAATTCAACCTAATTAGTTTGCAAAATGATAATAATCTCTAAAATAGAAAGCGGTTTTTTTCAAATGGGGAAAATGGACTTATCATTTATATAATTATGTAACAAATACACTTAGTCTTGATATATTTTATACTTCACAAAATTGCGAGATATTTCCTAATTAATAATAGTAAGACTCAGCAAGTAGTGACAAGAAAATTACAAAATCAAGACGACTAAACATATTCATTATCATAAGGGGTTTTGTGGAGATTTTGGTAATTTTATAGTTGAATTCATGAGTCAATTAAAGCTAGAAAATGGTGGATGGTGGCTCAATTTCGTGGATTGATTGAAGTTAGACATTGGATGCCGGCTCAGTGGTGTAGAGGTTAAGCCTTCACTCACAAGAGTGATAGGTGCTAGGTCCGAATCTCGCTCACTGCTGAGGGGTCCCATACTAGAACGAAACGCCCGTCAAGGGCTTCTAGGTTTTTGATGGTGGTCTAGCTTTAATTGACTCATGAATTCAACTATAAAATCATTTTCATCTTAAAAACCAATCATCATGAGTGCGATTTATTGATAGTGGTGCATATTTATGAATTTTCCGAATTCGGTTTTTGTTATTTTCTACAAAGTGATTGTTTTAATTCTACCACTTTCACAATCATTGCGATATCATTAGCTAAATTTGAAACCATTGCAGTACTACGTTTTGCACAAATACCATCGGATCATGATGTATACAGTTTTATATTGCATAAAATATTTAAAGGATATTGGAAAATAGAAATTTTAGAGTTCGATGTGTAATAATTTTTTAAATTGAGTCATTTAAGGAAATTAATTTCAAAAGAAGATAATATTCACCAAAGACTAACACTTAATTGGAGAACAATCTAAAACCAAGGACCACTGAACAACTGTAGTTATTTATAGTTAAATTGAATATTTATAGTCTAGGCTTTCTCTATTGCAGCTCTGTTTGATTTTGGAAACTAAGCGGTTCTTTTACTCCATATTATTAATGTTCACCATTAAATAAATACATCCATTTTATCAAATTACTAGTCACAGTAATGTGTAGAGTGTATAGTGCCAGTTTGTTCTTAATTAAAAGCAATGTCGACCGTGGACTAAGTTTAGAAATATTCACGCTGGTTATTAAATAAGGGGTTAGAAGACTAATTAATTACGACGAGGATTGAAGATTCATCGTGAATTTGCAGATATAAGCTACTAAACAACCATCTGCTAAAGTGAAACACTTGTTCAATATTTTCTGAATTCAAATCGTTATTTGTCTAAATTCAGTTGTTAACTACAAACTGGAAATAGTCTGTTTAAATGATTTCGATAACATTTCTAGAACAGTAACTGAATATAAAACGGACTGATAAAATTTCAGTTGTTCCATTTTTTTATTTTTTAAATATGACACATTAAAAGGTAACATCACAGAGCGAAAAAACAAACCAAGGTTTTCCTCCCAAATAACATGTATTTATAATCTCATATGCAAATATTTTCACACGAATATCATAGCAATTTGCAAAAATCCGCTTCTAAATTAGAAAACATTTAATGGCAAAATTAATTCTCGCACACACACACACACTCTATAATAATAATAATGAGAAGTTCTTTTCTTTCCATTGAATTCATCATTAAAACTTTGCCAGAAAAATAATTGTAATTGGTTACATCAAGAAGTAATTATTAGATAATAACTTAGTTAAATGTTGATTACGTGTAAATGAAACTGATAATTGTGTAATATCAAAAAAAAAACAACCAAATAAATGAATTAACAGCAATGATAACTATATAAGATTGTAGTGAAATAATTAATTAAGCTAATAATATAGTGAACTATTTTTTTAATTTAAATGATTTTAATAGTTAAAGAGAAAATATTTAATCCGTAGATAATTTTAAAGTCATTTAATAGTTGAATTCATGAACATTGAGAACCTGGAAGCACTGAACGGGCGTTTAGTTCCAGTATGAGATTTCTTAGCTGTCTAGTGTTTTTAGGTTTTCCATGGCGGTCCAGCTTTGATCGACTCACGAATTTAACCATTAAATAACTACAATCTTCACAAAAATCCTTTTCTGATTATAGTTATTTCTTATCACGTTATCTATGTTAATTGGATTATTACTGATCAATGAAATCTGTTGTCTGAATTAATAATTGGAAATTTTATGCCAGATTTCACTTTATATTACGTAGTGTCAATAAGAAATGATGATTGAATGCTGAAAAAATCAATCGATTGATAGATTTCAATCGTAGAATATTGCAGTTCAAATATTGGTACTAAATCGAGATAACGAATCGTTTTGTGAAGCTGTATTTATTGTAACTGGGACTTCTTAAATGGATGTTGTGTATAACTGACTCTAATAATGTAAATCATTTTCATAATATATAATGTTTGGTCAGAATGATGCGAAATCTCAGTGTACTCAATACATTCTTGATAACAATTTTTGAATAGACAAAAGTTCCTAGTTAAAAGAAAAGAGAAATACATGAACCTGTTAGATTTAATAATTAATATTTAGGAAAAACCGTCGAAAAAAAGGTGTTCCATCAGGCTTTTCATTTGAAGATTAACGAAAGGGAAGTGTTGAAAATTTATGCATTATGTTGAATAGTTGATTACTACAGCCAGGTACTGAAATCCAACAAAAATCTCACTAAAAGTTCCAGATTATTATTTTTCTTAAAACTTTTAGATTTACTGTAAATTTAGTTGAAGTAAATTGGACATAACAATAAAAGTTGAAGAGGTCTTACAGGTTGATGCTTTTTTTAAGATAAACAAATACTTTATAAAGTAGGTCAGTAAAACTACTGGTTACAGTTTATGCGAATTTTACTTAATTGCTATACTTCCTGTTATTTTCATCGTGCCAATGAAAAGGTAACATCAGTATAGGGTTGTGGAGATTGTTGAGTTTTGGGTGAGATCATGGAGCGATCAATGTTGAACCAACATTGAGAACCTGGAAGCACTGGAAGGTCGTCTAGTTCTAGTTTGTGACTCCTTAGAAGTGCGCATTCACGTGGGAGTTGGACACAGGACCTTCAGTGTTGCACGAACGCCTATTATCTAGACCACTGGGCCGGGATCCAGCAACGCTGAAGTCTAAATTCAACCAATCCTTGATATCACAGGACCAACTTTCACTTTTATTGCAATTAATTGAGAAGAAATGATATTTCTTTATTAGTCACTGTGTGAACTGAAATGTTGTTGAGTCTTTAAGGGATTTAACTCATGTGAAATTCACCTTGAGCAATTACTTGTTTCCTACCTGAATATAAAAACTATGCAAAAATAAATGATTGCACTTATCAATGGGTATAAGATAAACATCTGTGGATTACAAGAAAAATACATTTGACTTGGTTTTAATCTTTTATTAATTCAGTAGTTGCCTTATGGCTATTTTGCATTTTGCAAATTGTTGTTGGTAATATTCGTTCTTGTGGCTTGAAGAAAACAGTAAGTGAGTAAAATGTTTACTTTCGAATCTTATTAGACACAGTATCTGTGATTGCCTGAAATTTCAGGCTGAAATGTCCATTTAGTCACATGTACTATTTGATGATTAGTAAATAAATACAGTTTTAAGAATGTAAGGTTTCATAAAAAAATTGTATCATATTCATCCTTAAGATTATGTAATATAAATTAATGCCTTCAATACTTTTCATTCATTCACATACATTTGAATCCAGATCCAATATTGTACATGATGATTTTTCTTTGAGAATAATCTTTTCTGATCCTACTTTGATATCTTCTCATTGTTGTTTTAATCTAAATTATAGACCTGCTCATGCACTAAGAGTTCAATGGTTTAAAAGTACACTGAATGGTAAACATGAGCTTATCAATCCATCAAATGTTATTTCATCACCAACAAAACTGTCAACCAATCATAATTCAAACATTAATAATCAAATTATTTATAAATTTGATACGTCAGGTCTCAATAGAACACTAATTATTAGCAATATATTACCGAGTGTAATACCTTCTGATTATTTTCAACAAATCAATCAAAAAGGTATTTATTCTGAAGAATATACATGTCATGCTTATTTAAATGACTACATTAATAATAATGTATTTGATATGAATAAATTCATATTAGATGATTCTCAATTTACTACATCAGTCTTATCCTCCTCTTCATCATCATCTTCTTCTACAAATTCTGCAATTAATTTATATCAACGTATTAGTCCCATATCAACTACAGCTAGATTAAAATTATATCTACCGCCAAAAATTAAATTCCCACCAAATTTGATTGTGAATAGTTTAACAAGTCAATCGGAAATTTCACCAAAATATAATAAATTAGTGATAATTGAAACAAGTGCCAGTATGACTATTCAGTTACCATGTGAACTAGACTATTTTGGCATACCAAAAGCTGAAATTAAATGGTTAAGAAATGGTGATTCAATTGATACACATAAACAAGAATAGTAAGTTACATGTTTTTATATTCTTTTTATAATGATAATAATGTTTGTTTCATGTTCAACGTTCAACGCAATGCATATATATATATATATATATATATATATATATATATATATATATCCATGAGCGTCCCGTATGTTCAATGTAATGTCAAAATTTGACGTTTCTGCTATAGAAATAAATGATACGGTCTTCGTAAATATTTATAATGTTATGCTTAAATTGAAAATTGTTCATTTTATCCATCATTAGGCAGGTCATACAAAATATATCGATTTATTGTTCATTGTCTTTTTGATTGATTGTTTGAATGAATCAAGTTCATTTATCAAAATAAACAAATATTTGTTTATTATCGATATATGATACACGATATTTCAAGCAATAATCATTCCAAATATTTCACATTGAACAGCATGAGGAACATTTTTACTTATCATCAGGTTCATATCATGTTACGCATAAATTGTTTTAGCAATTTTAGTTGAAATTCGGGGACGTAAACAGATACTTCTGGTAAAGTTGCACTTTCCGTTTAGCTCAAATATCACGTTACTATCAAAAGCTTTTTTGCATAACAATCAAAATAGCACAGATAAGACGGGTGTTTACGGGTAGTGATAAAAACGTCGAAAGTTGTTTTATTTTCTAGCTCCTAAAGAATAAGATTCTTAACATAACCTTCGGTGCTCTAAATAGATGAAAAAAGTATGATATGAATTTTCTTGTAAACGCTTCATGTTTTTGTCATGGAGATCTTGAAAGGAGAATTACTGGGAGAAAAGGATAATTATTTTCTCTTTGTATGGGACTTCTCATCAGTCCACAACTCTTTCACAAGGGCTGAACTCAGGTTGTTCGGTCTTGCGTGTAAACGTATAGTCTCCAAATCAATCAGCCAAGACTACATAGTATACAAGTTCAACTCCAGTCAGTTCATGAGGTCGTGCAACCATCTACCTGATCCCACACTAAAAAGCAATAGTTTCTAAGAGTTTTTTTCTATGGACATACTATTAGGATTAGGTGAATAAGTAAAATTGTAAAATGCTCATAATTATTCTATGGTGAACCAATACACATACTGTTAATGTTTATTTATTTAGCGGTGGTGTCATGAAATTCTCATATTGTTCTAATTGTAAGGTTTCATTTGACTCATTGATTGCAGCTATACTTCTTGACATTCATAAATCATTATTAATTAATCCTCCATTCACTTTTGCGCCTTCTTATATAAACAGTGGGATTTATTAATTATTATACATGATCATCTTTAACTTTATATATATGTAAACGTGTGTTTAAGACTGAATAATAATGAAGGGCGTTTGGTTGGATTACTAGTACCCTGTTATGAAAACGGGGATTTACGTGGGTTGTAGAAGACTACCATTTTCAGCATATACAATTCACATATATACCTCCGTGAACCATTGGACTGTTATCAATATAATGCTTACATGTTCCTTGTTGTTGATCGGACTAAATGAATTCAGTTCCACTGTGATCTCTAATCTGAGCCGACAATGAGTGCTCTATGTTTGTATATTAAATTGTTATTTGCGACTATCAAAATGATCTAGACCTATCTGGTACCTGTTTGCAAGATATCTGAAAACTCAATAAACGTAATTCTACCCTTTAGCGTCGAACCACCATTGACCTTAATTCTAGGGCTCTCCACCAATTAGCACTAATTAATTCATAATGACAACAACAATGGCAGATTATTAGGACGTTGTATGTGAATGTTAGATACATGTATCTCTATTACGGCATTTTGCAAAACAATGCATAATACTTATGATTTATCAGACGTCTTTAGTTAGATAAAGATGAATTCATCAACTAGGTTTTGTGAATCGGATATGTTTATATTTCATCTCTGATGGGCTTTGTATACTTATACGACAATATAAGCATATTTTATGTTAAATTCATTTTGACTGATTATATCTACTTTTTGAGTAACTAGGGAAGTGAAATTTCAACAATATTATGCATGAGCATAATCTCCACACTTTCAGCGTAATGGACACACGTTTTGCATAATACATAGTTGTAGAGGTGTCATTTATTAAGATTTACTTATAATCTCTCAAATTGTTTTTCATAAAACGCCTACATTTCTAAAGACAGTTTTAGAAGATTCATTATTTACCATCTTTAAAAAAAACTAATGTAGAAAATAAACACTTTCTTTTATTCATACGTTATATTTCCCCAAATATTGATTATAGTGTTGTTGTGTACTTTTCGTACTCCTGTTACATTCGTTCTTATTTCTTGCCCCATGCTCAGACAATTTTCATTTCAAATATTATAATATCAACTAATTTACTTCTTATCATCATGGTAATTTGAAATCTCACTGTAATGATTTGCGGTATCCTAAATCTACTAAGTTCATATTTTTTTAGTCAGATCCAACTGTGATTTCGATCAATAAAACACAAAAATTCACACTTTTATTTCAATTTTCACCAAACCATTTGAATTTTGCGTTGATATGGGCAACTAATGAAACTTTCTAGCTCTCCATATTTATTGTTTACTGTCAAAATGTCAATTTTTATTTACTTTTTTTATATTTATATATTTATATATATTGGAACTTTTAATAAACTCTGTCTCCCACTAGTGAAAAGATTGTATTTTGATTAGTGTAAGTATAAATTGCGTGGAATGATGAATGTCAATTTTACTATAAATCAATTCATAAAAAAGCTAATCGAATCATTAGAGTTTATAAATGAGAACATCAAAAATCCAATGAAATCTGTTTTATTTTTTACAGTTCCATAATGTATATGTTGTATTTAGGTAAGAAAAATTCCCAGATGACTTTCTATTTTGAACTTGATAGAAAATATGAACGTATAAATGTTTGAGATGTGTTTTTGATATGAAATGTCTAAAGATAAAGTCGTCTAGAGATAGATATTGCAAATTCCTTATTCCCATCAATTACACTAATAAACTGAGGAAAAAATTGTTTTGAATCGATCGAAGTTATACGCGTATATTATTGAATGTCGACTCAGCGGACTGAAGAGTAAGCGTTCTTCAAGACATTCAAATATCCCGTGTTTGATCTTGGATGTGGTCATCAATGAACACTTCTGAAGAGTTTTATGCTAGGACTTAGTAGCTTTATAGTGTTTTTAGATTTTCAGCCGTTATCTAACTGAGATTAGTCTGTAAATTATGGAAAGAAAACTGTACAGTCAAATCACTTCGGTTTCAACTCATTCAGTAGTGTATACACAAAATTTCACAAAATAACGAAGCAGGTATTTTATGAATTTAATCCGTATGCGACTTTGCGTTAAACTACCAACTGTTCGTCTCATAGGGGATTTAGCAAAACGTAGTGGTTGTGCCTTCTTAGCGGTCGTCAATGCTATATTACCATAGTAAATCAACAGTTGAAAATCAACCGGTTAGGTGTTAAACTGCTGATTATCTATCGTTTTCATTAAGTTTGGAAATGAATCAGAGAAATATTAAGAAAACAAGAATAATTGGAAACCGTCATCTACACTAGTCTACACTTAATGGAGTCGGAAATGCAATTTACTGCAAAATTGTTGCACTAAAGTTTAAATTGACCACAGTTCAAGTAGATTCGGTATTTTTATTCATATATCTAAGCATAAATGTATGACATTGAGGTGACTCAAATTAGAGTGAAACAATTGTTAAATAGTTTATTTTCACAGTGGAATTCACGAGTCAATCTAAGATAGACCACTACTGGAAATCTGGAAGCACTGGACTAGTATGAGACTCAATGTTGGTCTAGCTTAGACTGTCTAATGAATTCAACTTTGGAAATATTACAATCTCCACAAATCCCCATTTGATAATGATAATAATCATGTGCTCACTAGTAAGATGGATTTCCTGGAGTTCTAGTGAGAATCCGTGACCCACGGAGTCCAATCTGTGTCAGATTTAAGACCGTTATCCACTTCAGACAATGGATGAAGGGTTGCGCAAGATCATTATTCGTTCGAAACTAGACACTAACACCTTTGTATGTCGGCTCAGTGGTCTAGATATCAAGCGTCCGGGAGCGAGACCAAAGGTCGTGGGTTCGAGTCCGGCGAAAGAGATCGTGGATGCGCATTGCTGAGTAGTTCCATACTAGAACGAGACGGCCGTGTACTGCTTTCAGCTTCTCTGTAGCGGTTTAGTTTAGATTGACTCGTGAATACAAGTTTGAAAATGCTACAATCTTCATGAATCCCGAAAATTGAAAATATTTTATTGTTTAAATCACTACTCAGGTTTATTTCAGTCTAGCATGAAAATAATATTAAAACGATCTCAAATAACTGCAACTTAAGCAATGAAATATTTATAGTGATTGATAAACACTTCCAAATATTTACAGATGACGCTAGATAATACTGTATACATTGAATAAAGGTTATTTAATATTAACTACTTTGAATTCTCTTAAAAAAATATATTCATCATTTGATTTGTTTATACAAAAGCTATCGGCTCCGGCTATATATTCAATCTAACACAAGGAAATCCAATTTTTACTTAAATCTCGCATTTATGCTATGACATGACAGATTTGATTGATATCAAGAACATTATTTGGGATTATTATCATGCGATCAGATATTTGTGTACTATGTTTGTGTGTGTGTGTGAGGATAGGTGCGCTCGCTTATCAATCATCCAAGATTATATATGTATATATATGTACTTAGATTCACTTCTTAATCCACTCAGCTTTCATTCCTTTGTCTTGTTTAATTGACTCAAGTTATTCACTACAGCTGATTAATTATTTAACAGCCATAGGATTAGTTACAAGGTTGCAGTTTATGTTATTGAAAAAAGTTGTTACTGACTTGGGAATGAGTGAGTTATTATTTACTTCACTTCTGATCAATAGTGATTCGGTATTGATTAGAAAGTAGATCATTAGTCAACTAATGTAATTCCTAATTCGTGACTAGTTTATGTACCCAACATTGAAGTATACAGTTTAGATGAAAACTAATGATATTATCTAGTTGCTCTAAAAGAAGAATGTAGAATGGAATTTTAGACTGTGATTTATCGCTTAAAAACTGAGAGCTTCATACTCTAAACTTAACCCTCCACTCGTGTTACATAGTGATATCTGAAATGTTGATGATTTGTAGTACAGTTGGTTTATTTTGATGATGTTCCGTTCTGTAAGTTGTATGGTTTATTTGTGCAGCTTCTATTGTTATTCTGAGAAGAAGCATTAGCATAAGTATCTGAAGTTAGTCCTGATGATGTCATTTATGTCGATAGTCAATCTGAAGTTTGATCCTTAACCAAAAGCATTTTGTTAAAGCTGGAGAAACTGTAGTAGATAAAAGTAGATTTTTCATCTTTAATTAAAAAGATGAGATTTAATGGATTAAATTATTGATTCATAACTTTATTATAAAACTCCCAATGAAGTAGAAATTATACAATTAGATAATGTCATTAATTGACAAATTTTGCATAGTTTTTTTTCGGAAAAGTTTCTATGATAGCGATCTTTAAAGCATTTCTGAATAGACTCATAATCAGATTGTTTTGTTCAATATAAAGTAAACGGAAGACCAAATTTTCTAATTTAAGAACGATTCCAGATAGTAAAAATAAGGCATAATTATGTTAGTTGCTTGCAGACATCTTCAGAAAGTATCGAACTTTTATTTCCTAATAGTTATCACCTTTCAGTAAGAGGTAGATTCAATCCTATTAAAATATTCCACTTTTTTAATCAATGTAATAAACATCAAAACATCCTATGTTTAATGTCTAATCACTTAAATTTGTGGTCATACTGAAAAACAATCAACGGAATTTCGATCAATGTTAAGAACTTGACAGGTATGTGTAGAACTCCTTTATACTTCGTAAATTATCCTTCTAGAATTCCATTTAAATATCATTGTTTGAAATACAAGCGTTAGTAGCTTTGGCTTCCATTTCACTAAATGGAACCTGTCTGAAGGAAGAAAATAGTTCAATTAAAAACCAATTAGACGTTCTTATATTGGCAAATCCTGAATATTTAGATCAATATGTTCTGAGGAAAATTTCAACAGGTTTAGTAAATAAATAGATTTTCATATGATTATGGATTATTAGGAATGTTGATAGATCATTTCCAACTATCGTATCCAATGTACAAAATTCATCGAGAGCAAGCACAACTAACTGGTTCAAAGCTACTTGTTCTAATAAAGATGACTGTAATAAACTGTTTGCTTCAGAAATATCCAGTTATGCTGAAGGCAAATAAGATATTGCCAGTGGAATTTACGTCCTTCAAAAACGGACATATAATAATTTAAATGTATCTTGAATATACTACATAAATATAGGTAGTCATCACCAATCTACTTATTATAACTAAACATTTGAATTGGTACTGTCGTCTTTTTTAAGTTTGATAAGTGTATTATTTATGTCTAATTCAAAAGAAGCATTATAAATGGTGAAATTCCTAGGTAAATGATCATCACTGAAAAACGTACGTTACAATCGTAATTAAAGTTAGTCAGTACGTATAATTTAATAGAAAACGCGATTGTTTCAGTTAATCATATCGTTAGAATGATCCATCCATTGGACAGAATTTGTTTTCTGTATCAGTAAGTAAATGGGTTCTATTTATTATCTAAAAAAACCCTTAAGATTACTGCAAATAATAGACATATTTTTACTGAGAATTGTAAATTCAAGACGATGTACTTTGGATAGCTGTCAATCCACTAGGAGTGTAAGCTGTTTTTAAATGATTAAACACCAAAGTAAAAAATATAATGTTCATTCCTTGAAACAAAGATTCAAAGTAAATGGATTTATTAGAGTCAAGTAATTATTTACTAAATTTTCTCTGACCTAATAGTGGTACAGGGATCGTATAGATGATTGAATCAATTATTTCAGAATATTCCTTTTCTGTTGTTACGTTTAGTTACCTAAGGTATGTTATGGAATCAAGGGATAATAACATACATAATTTAATGTAAATAGTTATCTTTAAAACTGATACTTACATTAATATTGAAAACAATCTAATACTATTCCAACATATATCTACATGATTTAATAATTGCTAATACGTACTGACAGAAAAGTGCCCTCATTTCGGTATTACTTATTGAACAAATAACATGATAGCTCTGTACTCAATAACGTTTTCTGAACAGTAAGTGATTACCGACATAAATGTGCTTAATGAATCGCTATAAATTAGGCATTCTTTAACCTGCAAGTTGATTTAAAGAAAACAACTCGATGTAGAAAAAAACTATCAATGGTACAAAGAATAGGAGTTAGAATCTCGAAGTGTTTTGTATTTGGTGTCAAAACTGCAATGTATATAGTCTTGTACTTGAATGTGAATTTGTAACGGATAATACATATATATATTTTCTTCTTGGTAGAAAGTATCATAATTCTGACAGGTGTTGATGGAGATTAAATTACTAAAGCAGTACTTAATTGACTTCAATTTGATTCTGCTCTTATTCTTTTTGTAACAATATGCAAACTTTTTCTATAATATACAGAAGTGTGGCATAAAACCATAGAATTCGTAAGCAGCTATTTGGGTGCATTATGTTGATTATCTTCTCATCATACACTTTCAAGAAGTGTTGAAGGGTTTACGAATTGCCTTTATCTTTCCTGGGTTATTTTCTGACTCTGAGTAGTAAGAGCCTGATCAGTAATTTGGTTCTTTGTTTCATTCACTGATAAATAATTTTTTCATCAACTGAATGCGTTCTGATGTTTGAGTCAATCTTTAACTTCAATAAACGTGTGTGCTATGCCTTGACAAAGTTATCGATTACTGCTGGTGGGACGGTTGTTTGTTATAGCTATGAATTAACTGTTTTCTGCTATATGTTTAAGAAAAAAGACTGAAATGACTCGATGCAATATATGAAGCAAGACTGTCTGACGACATAAGTAACATACATCACAATAGTATAATATTTCCAATTATATAACAATGAAATTTCGTGCTGTTTCCTTTGTCCTTTAATAATATTATAGTATATCGTTCAAGAAATATTTCTGGATAATTAACTATTTCTTTTTTTGTATTTACTGTTTTTGAAAAAAATTATTTAGTTACCAGATTTATACCAATCATACTTTAATCATTAAAAATTTGAAGTTAACCGATGCTGGTATTTTCAATGTTACGCATATAATGATGTTGGTGAAGATTTCCTAAATATTTGGTTAAAAGTAACATGTAAGTTACCATTTTTTCTTATCTTGTTTACTGTCCAAGAATCTTTTTATTTATGTCTACAGTTTTGTATGCATTACGTTTGTTTTGTAACGGAAATAAGCTTAGTTACTAGTCATAAACCTGAACTTGTTGACTGGAAATTCTTATATGTTTTTGCTTTCATTCATTCATAAAGAAAGTAGTTCTGTGTATCTTACCTATATTGTACTGATTATGTCATTGAGTCATTTCACTTTTCTGTTAAAATACCAAAATTATAATGAATTCTCTGTTTTGATATACGTATATTACTTTTCCAAGAAATACTGGGACTAAAAATAAATGACATTTATTTTACAACATCTAAGTTACACAAATCCTATCTCTATAAAAATGATTTCCATTCGTTGGGCATATGAATAACACATATACTACTGTTTTGTAAACAATAAGGTTGGAATTCCTCATGAAAATGGCTACCTATCTAACCACTGTTTCACATGAATAGGTTTTTCCTGAATTCTATGCACAAATGATTTCCACAAATTTCAAATAATCAATAACCATTTGAATAGGAAGTTGACTGTCGTACGGCTGAAGATGTCGTTCATGATTAATCATTTCAGTAGCCCTCAGTGTTTTCAGAAATTCACGATCCAACGATAGTTATACCTATAATTTAATATTTACAAATTGATAAGCTTTTTGTGCAGTACCGTTATTATAACCAAACACATGCTATGAACAGATGATTAGGAAACAATGTTCTGGTAAACAAACATTGCACAAATTTCCATATATGAGTTGTTTTATTTTATAAAACTATGTGATATTTATTGTTCGATATGGTAAATTAAGTAGCAGAAAAATATCTAAAATGAGTTGGGCGCTAAAGCAGAACTTCCCAGACTACTCATTTGTTTAGCATATTGCTGACTAGAAATATATTTCTATTTAATATGTCTGATTTTTAACCTTTTAACACATTATTGCTAGTACTTTCAGACATTTGCTTCTGAATTGAATATATATAAATTTTAAAATGCTGTCTGTCTTTTTTCCCCTCAATCCAGTAACGTTTCACTAAGCTTAAGCTACTATCAACGAAATTTAGTGAACAAGAACACCAGAAGGGAAAATCGAATGTTTTGTTAATAAAATCTAACAATCATAAAGTAAATGCTTAATTTGCGAAATATCCACCAGTTGTCTCAAAATGACTCAGACGTCATTGTTCTTGCATTTTCATACAAATTGCATCCTGTTTCCACTCTTTACTGTTCGATTCTCTTGTCTCTCTGCTGCCAGACCTTCTGTTCCCGACTAGTGTTTCAAATTTATTAGCATGGGTTATTATTATTTTTTTCATACGTCAAAACAATTATCAGTGTCATAGATGTCATTTCGTTGATTAAAGGCGAGTCTCACGTGTGAGATCATGGATACGCACTGCTGAAGAATCCCATACTGTAACGAAACGGCTGTCCATTGTGGTGATCTACTTTAGATCGACTCATGAATCAAACTATCATAACCAATTAATTACTGTTTATTTTAAAATAAAATAGTTTGATTAGACTATTACACAAATAACTATGTTGAATTATTGTTCCCTACAAATTGTTTTATTGTCTACTATAGTGATAGTTATGATACTTGAAGAAAACAATGTGTTTTAATGACATTTCAGCTTTTATTTGTCACATATTATCTTGTTAAGAATCATTCATACTTTTTCTAAAATGTTCTATATTTTATATCCAACTGTGATAGCTTCTTAATAAAGATTGAATTTAGTCATGTCAATTAAAAAGAATCATTACAATAACTTTTAACAGTATCTTTATATATATATATGTTACATATTACGTAGAATAGAAGAATAGAGTGATCGTGACTAGGCTAATAGTTCACTGTTTCATTATTCCATATCGACATTTCACTTATCTATTCAAATCAGTTCCATTAATCAGTGAGTAATAATTGATTATGGTTAATTAATTTTTTATAATTATCTGATCAACTTTTATGGTATTTCAAAGTGAAGGTGAATTTGAATCATAACTAGTCAGGAATGAAATAGGCAAGAAAGAAGTATCTATTTAGATTGACGCTCATTATAAGATAACTCAAAATGACTTAATCTATCTTGCTATCATTAATAAAATTAATCTACATTTAATGGAATCCCTATCATTCAAGTCATCTGTTGATATTGTCAGGCTTTTAAAAAAAAGACTAAATGATAGTTTGATTAAGTGATAGATAAATATTGTCGCTTGTAAAATCATATCGACACTTATTTAGAGGCATAACAATAGGTTGATTTAGTAAAACAAAAATGAGAATTTATTCTGATAATAAAGAACAGTGTAGGTTGAAGAAAAAGAGCAGTGAGATACTTAGCAGATGAAGTAAAGATTTCTGTTCTACTGAGTGAGGATGAGATTTTTATCAAACAGAATTTGTGTTATAATTCAAGGGAATTCATTTTATAAGTTAGCACCTACTTTATATGATTTACTTCAATAAACGGCAACTTTATGAGATGATATCATGTTAGATCTTGTTAAGCCATTATCCACATAGTCCCAGTTTTTTTCCTAGTTAATTCCGATTAACTTAAAATTATTCTCCAAGATAGATGATGTTTCCAGAAGTTAAATAAGCAACCAAGGCATCTTTAAATGCCGATGTCCATAAGCATATTTATTGGATTAAGCTCATTGAGTAAAAGCTTTACTTTAGTTAGGTATTATTGAATTAGTTGTTCTTCAACTCTACAGAAATTTGGCAAAGTATATTCAAAGTAAAATTGTACTTCACCCGAACAACTGCTTGTGTAATCTCTTTACGATTACAATAGTAATCTAATTTTTCAATATCAGTAGAATACATATTTAAAATTCCTAGCAAAGCGGAACGGGATATCTTCAGATTAACTGCTTTCAATGCCTTTATTTTGTCGTGCAATGACAAAATTTATGCTTATGGTATACACTTGTTCAACTAAACTATGAAGCATATGTATACTACTAAATATCTTTTTCAAATGTTTTACAGTTAACTGTGTTTTAGTCATAAGTTTTCAAAAGTTATTTCTCATACATGAACTTTCTGGTAGTTTAATGACATTAGTAACTATCTACAAAACAGTAATCGTCAGTTGTGATTTCCCAAGGTACGAATTTCACATTAAAGTATACAACTAGTAAACGTTTCATAAATCATCCTCCGAAAGAGTGTCTATTCAAATACATCAACAGTGACCATTTGTCGAACATTGCTCATCTAACAGTGTCAATGATCTTCATTCACATAATAAAAAAGTACGATTGCTCCTTTTAGCGTTCGCTCCAAGATTATGCAACTCAGAAATAATTATGGAGAATATTACTGTATTGAAAGAATCAACAACAGTTCTGACTTGTCCTATTCATGGAGCACCAACACCTGAATTTAAATGGTATAAAGGTTAGTAGATGAATATTTTATTGTCTTGATTGTGCATGTTTTAAAATTTACCATTAACCAGTTTTATTTTTCGTTATCACTAATTTGACTGAAGACTGTAGAATTTTTTAGTTTTATGATAGGGACCTTTTATTTTACTGAATACCCACAAAATGTCCTCAATAAATTCATAAAATTGAATGATCCGCGAATAGGATTTCGTCAAAATTAAATTGAAAGTAACTGGATTAGCTTCAATATAGATTCCACAAGTTCGAGAGAAAAATTAAAAAATTAGGGTCAATTATGAATGTTGTTTTTTAACAAAAAAATCAATTCGGTTAAGTTGCTGGTTTTTTTTTCTTTACAAGATTATTTTTTTCTTGGATTAATGTGTCATTTCAAAATTACAATGTTTCACAGTTAGAGATGTGATCAACAAGACCAACTTCACTAATTTAATCTTTTATCACAGTTTACATGAATCGTGTTATAACTACAAAAAAAGGGAATTGATGAGTTTGACAAAAAGAACAATCCAAATCTTAATGGATAACAAAACTGAATTATGTTTATAATGTATAATGCTCGATTTTATGTAATAACTATTATATGATTCCCCTATTCTTTTTCCAGAAACCAGTGAAAATGAATGGACACCAATTTATCAATTACATCAAAAGTATCAAAATTCTAATTATTCTTCAACTTTTAAGAGAAAGCAATATTCAATCAAAGAGGATGATGTGAATGTAATATTAGCTGATGATAAACTAAAATCTATACAACCAGTATCTAATTCATGTGTACCGATCGGTTTAAATGAATTGGAGATTTATCATGTTGATTATAAATCAACTGGTCTGTATAAATGTGAAGCAGTGAATTATTTAGGGAATCAATCAGCTTTTATTTATGTCAGTGTTTATGGTAAGTTAGTCATATTTTTTGATCAATCCCAATGAAGTATCTAATAAAAATAAAGTCCGTTCAGCTTCAGTGATATTCTACCACTGAAATGATCATTTGGATCTCTTAGTACCCTTAAAATGGATTACTGTCACAATGAATAAATAAATGTATAGTTGTTTGATTTAGACAACCATTCTAACTAAGATGAGTCCATGATATAAACTAAGAAAATTAAGCAATCTCCAAAATCTCTAATGTTAATAACTAGCAAACCCTGAAAAGTTATCTTGCATATTGGCATAAGGTTCGCGCGAGAACAAAAGTCCCAGGTTTTTTAAATTATATCACTTGTTGAAGCTGTGCTATCGTATTTGTAGAGATCTATATAAATCCATAAGTTGACTTTCTTTTATGTGGGAGCTACATTGGATGCACAAAGTGAACTCTTTGTAAAGTATTCCAGAATGTAAAATAATAGTGATCAATACAGAGAAATCTGATAAATTCCGGTCAATTCCGTTCCATCAGAACTATCTTCCATAAAAAATCAACACAGTCAAACAATTGGGATCAAGGATGAAAAACCGATGAACTCCAGAGCCACTGACCATTCACCATCTTAAGCCTCAATTTCTCTTGAAAAATTAGCACATGCAATTTCTCAATCTTTTATCACTCCATTATTCTTTCCGGTCTGTTATTTATTCCATAATTAGTTGTCATTATTCCGTTGTAATTTAATTAATTATGGCTGAGTCGGTACCATCACTCCCACATTTCCATTTCTTGTACATAGCTGTGAAGTTAATGACTATGATTTATGTTTCTGATTTGCAAATTATTTTAATTTCGCTATTCTTTCTACAATCTTTGAGCCTTTAGGCAACTTTCTTATCATACATGAAATCTCTGAATACTGTAAAATATACTCTTTCCATTCTCCGGTAGACTAATATATTTTCCAAATCATAATAAGTAAGCTTTAGTAAATGATATCTTCAAAAAGCAAGTTTACTCGGCTGAATTGTCTTTAATTCTTCTTCTCGATCTTTAAAGTTTGAATTCTTTAACTTCGTCAGTATCTTGTATAATGTTTTATCATAGAAATCACTTTTTTATCAATAACAGCTCGTGCCATACCTGTTCACTATTTACCAAGTTCAATAACAGCTTTTGCTAATCAAAGCTTATCAATAATGTGTTCATTTTACATTGATCACCATACACTTGCTGAAATTAATTGGTTTCATGGAAGGAAAGAATCTACTCTTTCAGGTGAGAAATATAAAAAACATAATAATACCATGATGATTGATGGAACTATCAAAGAGAATACAAAAGTAATTACAAATTACAATCTTGTCAAGTCTGTACCAATAGATCCAGTTATCACTTATTTCTCACGTGATATTCCACAAAAACACAAACCGCCGATAGGATTAAAAGAGTATGGTTCGATTTTGCACGTTAACAGTGTTGATGTATTACATCAAGGATTCTATGTTTGTGAAATCCTATCACTTGGTGGTAATTACACTCTTAAAACTGAATTAAAAGTAAGAGATTTTTGAAGAAAATAATATTTATACTCATTTTATTGAAAAGAACTGCTATTTAAAGTTGATTATTCGTGATTTTAGCCTGATTATTCTTATTTATGATAATATCACTAGGATTCAATGATTAGGAAGAAAGCTAATATGGACAACAGATTTCTAAACGTTTTTAAGTAAACTAAAAGCTGGTGTTTTGAGGTTGGAAACTTGGTTGGACAATACAACTTTGTAGTGAAATTTTCAATGAAGTAGTTGAACGGAACGGTTGTGATATATATATCGTTAGTCGAGAATGACACATGTATAACCGATGATAATGAACATGTTATCTTAATGAGCTATAGTTCGTTCGGAAATAAGTGATACCGGTGTATATAGTGAATAATTCTAGGCACAAATTGATAAAAGGTTTAAGAAACATGATTCGAGATGAAAAACAACAATACTGTGATAGATAAACTGAGGTCAACATATACCTTTGATTACCCCAAAATTAACTGTCTACTCAAACGTAAAACGTTTTCAGGGACTCAAACTCAAATACTTAGTTTTTACAACAAGATCGTTCAATCTATTAGCCTATATCTTCCAAACCACAATCTATTTAGAATATATTTTAACAGTCCTTCCATTTTACAGTTATGCATCCATCTTGAATCTTTGTTTACTTTGCATCAATGATTATGGGTTTCTAGTGAAGCAAATAGCTGATGTTGTCTAACTCTGTAATATCTGTATTTTAATATAAGTTGAAAATAATTTTTCTAGTCAGTCATTTCATTATTTATATTTTAGTCCTTAACAAAAGTCAGATTATTAATTCCGGTTTATATTTCTACTAATTTTGTTAAGGTTGTTTCGCTCCCGACAGCACCGACTGATCTGTCTGTTACCAATGGATTTGAAAATAGTAACTATGATAATGATAACAATGATATTCATGACATCGGAGTTCAACTGTCATGGAGACAGCCACAAGCAAAACATCAGCTGAAAATAACTCATTATGCAATTTTTATTCATAAATTACCCAATCAACATAGTTTGGGAAAACAAAGTAAATTAAAATCTGATTTCGTAACAATATCATTAATAATAATAATAATCAATCTTTATGATCAGTGTAGCATAGACACTGACATATAACTGATTATACCAAATAAATGAATTGGAATTTTTAATACTTTCGTGTTCATTTAAAATCCTCTTAAACCTCTTATCTAGATGGCTTTTGAATTTTAGATATTTGGTTGATATGAAGTTAAGACTCTGAACGAATCAATCTAAACAATTTATAAATTTTAAAATGTACAGTTAAGAAATAGACTTGACTTAAAGAAACATATACTTGAGCATAATATTCCTGTTAATTATTTGTTAAAGAATTTTAGTTAAACATTTAAGAAAATCAGTTACTCTACAGTCAACTTGGTGTCAAGTGGAGATAGTTATCCTCCTCAGACGATGGATGAAGGGTTGCGGGAGATCATGGATATATTGAAGTTAGACACTAACACCCTTGGATGCAGGCTCAGTGGTTTAGATATCAAGCGTTCTCGCACGAGACCGAAGGTTCTCGGTTCAAATTCAGCGTGCGGGATCATGGATGCGCATTGTTATGTGGTCCCACAGTGGGATGAAACGACAATCCAGTAATTCCAGGTTTTCAGTGGTGGTCTAGCTTAGATGAACTCGTGAATTTAACTATTAATCTAAAAATGTCGATTTTAATTAATGAGCTTTCAATTTATGAGCTGAAATAATATGAGCAGAATATTTTGTCTCAATAACACAGTGGCACTAAACTTGTTAAGGATTACCAGTAAAAAAATAAGGTGAGAATAAGTTGAGTGTACATCTACAACAGTGTAGAAAATCTAAAGGAACTAGTTAAATTAAGAATAATTGAAATCTAAGTTCGTATAGGTGACGCTAGTTGGAGTTACTCTAAAATAAACAGGAATTAGCAATCTATAAGGTGTCCAACAAATGTTCATCTAAAAGAATGATTTACTGCGAGCCATAACAATTGAAAACTACTGTTATTGAGACCGGAATTCAAAGAAACCAAATACAGAGAACTCGTGACATACTGATCAATAAACATTTGGAGAATGACATTTAATATAATAAATTTGCTCTTTTTAAAATAGGGACCAATTTTCACCAGTGTGTTTACCACTTTAACATTACGATCAATATTATGACTATTATATTTCCGATATTGAACCTTTATAACTGGATTAATGACGAGCCCATTTGAAGATACGGAATACTGAACTGACGTAAAGCCAGATATTAAAGATATCAAACACATTTCACTAAATCTCTTTTGTGTTTTAATAGTTAGTGCCTAACATGCAACACAGGTCACATTCTCATAAGACCGTTTCATTTTGTTGCCTAGACGAAACTTCTATTAACTCGTTCTTTATAAAAACCTTCTTCTTCACAAAACAATCCTGTCACAATTATATTCAAATTTCTTTTTATCTTTAGTTATTTGTTTGCTTATGTAACCTGTGATAAGAACTAAATGACTCGCTAATTGGTCATTGTTTACTCAGAATTAAGAGAACTTAGTTCATATGAATCATTTGTATACAGAATGAGCATTTAAAAATACTTTTCAAATCACCTATAGATTATTAATATATCTCTGATGATGATATCATTCAATTCATTTGATTTCTGTTGAAGACACATTGTTAGTTTGGGGTAAACGTTTTTACATTAGAGTTTTTTTAAAGAGTATGTCCATAATCGGTTGTATTGAATCATTATTTTCTAATAATACACATGAAATCAAGACCGATTTCCGTTTTGTTTGACTAATGACAGAGTCAGTAAAGAATTGAGAATGTAATGAGAAATATTTAGGCATCGAACTCGAATTTTCGAGCGTTAAATATTTGAAAAAATCAATTTCGGTCAAGATCTACAACCGTATTTTTCAGAATTAAATATTCTTTAAACGGTTCCTGTATTTAAAAAAACACTATTTAAATTGATGTAGTCGGAACTTTAAAAATATTCTTTACTTTTCAGTTTAATCTAACTCTACACCCTTTATCAAATCTTGTTGAACTGATATTTTTATATTAGAATAAACAAGAAATGGAAAAAGTGATCATAATTACTCTAGACACGCATTGGGTTGGTATAATCACACTAATCCATATGGGAATGTTATGTTACAACTTTCGTGCTAGCTGAAATATTTTTTTGTGTTAAATGGGTATGATAAGAATAAGGTTTCTAGTGATCCATGTCTAGACGGCCATGTATGTATCAAAGTTTAAACGGGAATTCAGAATATTTTGTCACATTACTTAGTAGAATGTATGTATGTATATACATATATACAGAGAGAGATACAGAAATATGCTCAAAATCAGAAATAGTAGTATGATGTCGAATTACTTATTTAAAATTGAAAAAGGTGTTTAGTTTTAACGATGCATTCTGCAATTCCATTACACTTTCTATATCAAATAAGACAATGTGACTGGTGAAGTAAGTTTTTAACAATGATAAGTAATTGTTAAGTAATAAGGAGTTAAGATTTTAAATAATACCAGACTATATATTTGTTTTGTTCACGTTTGAACTTGCCCTCCTGAGGACATTAAATAATTGAGAATAGAACAAAACCAAAGTTTTCAAATTTATTTACACAAGCGAGATTCAGTGATTCACATTTTTAGCTAATACGAATTTGTGAAATACCCGGACGATTGCCCAGTATTGTTTATAAAAACTAGTTTAAATATGAACTAGATGATCTAACAGATGATGACTCGCCTATAACCTATCGAGATATATTGTAGTGTATATTACTTTTGCTGACAGATAGAAGTAGTATGCAACTGAAATCAGAAGTGGAATGCCCGGCAGCAGAAGACGGAGTTATAGAAAACACAAGGAAATCGGAGAGCAATCAAAACAACAACAGAATTAGAGGAACAATGTAGTAGGTAAAGAACAACTCAAAGAAGATGTACAAACGATTTATTTATCGTATGATTTTCATATTTTACTAAACCACTGTGTAATTTCACATTAAACAATAAACTGCTTTATCCTACTGAAGTCTTCGTTCACTACAATACTACATAAGGCCAGCTACCACATGGACAGGTTAACTTGAATATTATTCAAAATTAATCATTCGAAATTAGAGTATTCAAGGGGATTCACTACACGTCAAAAGAAAAATTTACCAAATACAACTGTACTATCTACCGGAAAAGTACTGATCGATGTACTTATTATTAGTCAACATAATGTGTGGTTATTCCCTAAAAGTAATTTATAAGTGATAATCGTTAAACAATAAACTTGATCACAACCGAATAGGAAATGTTGAAAAGTACTTTATCGATATTACAATGACGCGTTTAACGTAATCATTTTTATTCGTACATGATTTTGTTATGAATGTAGGATTTTCATGGTTTAACTCATGAATCAATCTTAGCTAGATCGCCAGTTGAAACCAAGGAGCACCAAATAGTCATTTTATCATAAGATGGGACTGCGTACCTACAACTATGTTGAAAGGGACCGCACCCAAAACCACTGATCTCACGAACGGGCAACAAACCTCTTCTCCACTTAGCCGGGACTCAACAGTTTTATTATCTAAGTTCGTGTGTGATCATCTCCCAATGCCTTGTGTTGAGTTTTGTCTAACACATGGCCATGGCTTCTCTCTAAAACCGCGTGAATTACACTTCAGCTTTTTACTCATCAAAACTTTTCATTAATATTTTCTAATTTATCTCATTTACAGATTGTGAACTAATCATGGATGAAGAATGGGAACTATTCAGTGTCATAAATCTAAATGAAACTATTAAAAATCCAATAAATGATCGTTATATATATACAATATATAATATATCAATAATCTATCAGACTGGTTCATATTGTATCGGTCTATCTTCAGTAAATTTTCTTGGATGGAGTAAAAAATCTAATTCTGTTTTTTATTCAGTATCACATTTATCCAATAGTAAGTGATTATCAAATTGTGAATTTTCCTTTTTAACTGACTGTTGGATGTTTGTATGGGAGTTTGATTAGTACTTTCATTTTCAGGTTTCCAAGGGAAATTTTATTCGATAATAAACTGTTTCCAGATAGAAAACAACTCGACCTGCATGAATAAAAAGCACTAATCAAATGCTGCTACCATATTAGAGCGAAATTTCATTAGAACACGTTTCGTAATAATGTTTCCGGCCAACATACTCAATTTTATTTTGTTAGTGGACAGCAGTGTGGTCTAGGACGTATTTTGTTTGCACTGTTAAGAACTCGTTAGGTGAATACAACTGGATACCGTAGTCAGTGTTCACATTAATTTGCCATCTCGTTCAACAAATTATCATACACTACGCTATTTACTAACGACATCCACAAATATGCAGAAAAGTGACTGTAACGCGTCTTTCATTCGTCATTTATAGTCCTTTACATCTTACATTTATATTTTTAAAACACTTAATAACTTAACAATTGCAAAAATGATTTTTGCGGCTTTTTACTTTTTATCGAAATTGTGTTAGTTCATAAACAAAATCAGGTATTCAGAGAGCTTCCGAAAGGTTGATGTTTTCTGATGCCATCAATAGATGATCTAAGTTAAAAGTAGACATTTTCATGGGTGTAAATAATGCGGTTTTTCTAAAAATGAAACAGGATTCACACAGAAGAATAAAAGCATGAAATCAGTGATAGAACATAAAATATATTAAGCTAAAATATTTAACTAAAATAAATAATCCTGATTAGGGATGAGATATTGAGACCTGTTTTGAGTTGTATCATTGAATTTGATGTTCAGTAGTAAAAATTTTATTGAAAAAGAATTTTGCATACTTTAAAAGTAACTATATGCACTTGCTACTTTCAAATTTCTTTAAACGGAACCCATCAATACAGAATGCGCCATGTCAGTATACCATTCAGCGAATAAGCAGATTTAAGAAAACATTTGTAGACTGTAATAAGCAATAAACTAACCTCTGATCAATGACTGATTCAATCTGAATTCAGAGAGTTAACAAAAGTTTGTATTTCATATTTTCTATGTACTTAATAATAGATATCTACCTGTATTTCCTAATCAAACGAAGAGGTATTCTTAAACTAAGGCATGTATCAAACGTAGTAGACATTGTTAGTTGTTTTTTTCAATTTTTAAACACCACTCCTTGATCGTTTTCAATAAGGAATATATTTTTTCGAATAAACAAAACTAAATGAAACTATTCTTTGGACAGTTTCGTTAAACGTATGGTCATTTGTACAATGTTTTAAGAAGTGCATAACAATAATAACAATGTTCTATTTTAGCTTTTTAGTTTCTTGATCGTCCTCAAAATTATGATAGTAAATTTATTTTCTAAATAGATTTACTAATATCTTATTTATCTTCCTTACTTTTAAGCAGCATTAAGTGAAGTTATTATGAAACTGTATTTAATAAACGTTACAAGCACATCTATTCATGTTCTTTGGGCAGCAGCATTGCAAACCAATAAATTATCATTATCCTTAGTTAAAGAATATCAGGTTAGTTTTTTTGGCCATTAATAATGTATCCTTTTGTTTCACTAATTGTTTAACACTCAAAAATAAACACAGAAATTCAAAATAAATGATGAAATATCTAGAAGCACTGATTATATGTTTCATTTTAGTATGCGACTCGGCTGTGAGCATCAACGATCTGGATTGAAGATAAACATTAACACCTCTGGATGCCGGCTAGAGGTCAAGCGGTTGAGCGCGAGAGAGCAGGTCGTGGGTTTGAATCCAAAATGCAAGACTGTGAACGTCCACTGCTGAAGAGTCTCATGCTGGGACGAAACGGTCATCCAGTACTTCCAAGTTTTCAATGGTGATCTAGCTTAGATAGACTCATGAATTCAACTATGAAAAAACCATAATCTCCACAATCCCCATGCTAATGAAATATCTGTCAATGATATTGAAATTATTTTGTTATACATCTTACAAATAATGATTTGATGGATTTTATTCTTTCAAACACACAACCGTTATTACCTTAACACCTAACAAAATTGAATCAATCATTATTCTCTCAATCTTCAGTTTTCTTATATTAGACTGTAGACATTACTTATGTGGTCCATATTAGTAGAATTGTTAGATTAGTTTAAACTTACAAGTGCTTCATTATAAAATATTTAATATTTCTCATTATTCTTAATTGTACAATCCATTTACATAAATAACACTCGATTTATATTACAAATATGTGTATTTCATATACCAACAATGAAGATACGAAACTTTAAACCATATAAAAAGTAAGCCTATTCGCTACCATGTAACCCTATAGATTTAGTAATTACAAAGAAAATTATTCTGAGTGTTCAATAAAGTTCTTAATGTACGAACTAGCGAGTGACATTTGTTTTTCTTCCTCATCTCTGATTTCATTGAAGATTGGAACAAGTTCTTCAGAAATTGTGGCAAAACTACTACTGATTTTAAACGGAAATTATTGTAGTCGTTGATAAGTAAATGTTTCCATAGACAATTTTGTACATTAACAAATCATTTGCAAAAGTTAAGCAGATTTCTTCATTCTTAGACGGCAAATATCAGCTGTTACATTCACCTTGATACATATTGTTGTTTTCTCTCTATTCATCGTACCAATATTCTTTTTGATTATTCAACTTCTTTCTATTTATTTGTCTATATTTCTTATACAGGTAGGTAGTATCTCATAAATATTCATGTGGTTTTATTTCAAAGTGATAGTTACTTTTTGTTATTATCTACTTTGGGAATTTTAATTAATCATTCTCGGATTGAAATGATGAATTTTACATGATACAAATTGACTTTTATCAGTATGGGGATTTATGGAGATCGTAGTATTTTCAAACTTGAATTCACGTGTTGATCTAAGCTAGACCACTATTGAAAACCTGAAAACACTGAATGAGCATTTCGCCCTATTATGAGACTGTTCAGCAGTGCTCATCCGTGATACCGCACTCAGAACTCAGAAAAAAATTTTTGTTCGCACACTGGTTAATAAGGAAATAACATTTCTTCACATTTAATTGCAATCTAACATAAATGAAAGGTGGTCGCTCAAGATTGGGGAACGACTAAAGTTAGACGTTAACACCGTTGAACTCTGACTAGATGGGCTAGAGGTTAAGCGTTGCACGAGAGCCCGAAAGTCATGTGTCTGAGTTTGAAGTAAGGGATCGTGGATGTGCACTGGTAAAGAGTCCCATACTCACTTACTTACTTACGCCTGTTACTCCTCGTGCAGGAGCATAGGCCGCTCACCAGCATTCTCCATCCAACCCTGTCCTGAGGAGTTCTTCCCAGTTCTTTCCAGTTGTTATTCGTCCTTTTCATATCTGCTTCTATTTCCCGACGTAATGTGTTCTTTGGCCTTCCTCTTTTTCGCTTCGCTTCAGGGTTCCAAGTTAGCACTTGTCTCGTGATGCAGTTTGACGATTTGCGTAATATATGTCCTATCCATTTCCATCGTCTTTTCCTAATTTCTTCTTCAGCTGGGAGCTGGTTTGTTCTCTTCCACAAAAATGTCTGTTGCTGATGGTATCCGGCCAATGGATGCCGAGTATCTTGTGCAGACAGCTATTTATAAATACTTGGTTGTTGTAGTTCTTCAAGTTTCAGCTCCGTACAGTAGAACTGCCTTGACGTTCGTATTGAAAATTCTCACTTTGATATTGGTTGAAAGTTGTTTTGAGTTCCATATTTTCTTCAATTGTAGGAATGCGACCCTTGCTTTGCTAATCCTCGTCTTTACGTCTGCATCTGAACCTCCTTGTTCATCGATGATGCTTCCCAGGTATGTGAAGGATTCTACATCTTCCAGAGTTTCGCCATCAAGAGTGATTGGATTGCTGTTTTCCGTGTTGTATTTGAGGACCTTGGTTTTCCCCTTGTGTACGTTGAGGCCTACTGATGTAGAGACTGCTGCTACACTGGCCATCCAGTGCTTTCAGGTGTTCCGTTCTAGCTTAGATCGACTCATGATTTCAGCTGTCAAGATAGTAATTTTGTTTAAAAGTTGATAAAAATTGAATCAGTAGTATATCGTTTGTTGAAGATGAATATCTCTATAAATGATTAATTGAAATAGCGACTAAACTGTTTTCTTTATGGTATTTTCATGATGCTAATTCTAGTTATGTAATTTTATTTTATAGTTATATTATTGGATTGAGAATAGTGATTTTGTGGAAGTGAAAAAATGTTCTAATATAAACAGTTTTGTACAGCAAAACGAGTTGACCAATTTAAAACCATCGACAAGATATCATTTAAAAGTAAGTTATTTTTATTATTTAGGTGTTATCACGCGTCATATTTGTCGTTGGTCAGTGGTTAACATAAGTCAGTGATCAATCAGTTGTGCTGGAAGTCAGTAGTGAATCATCTAGTTTAGCTGAAACGTTTCAGGGTTTGAAACCGAATGACTTTGGTTCGAATCACGAAGGGGATATCAGTGACCTTCAGATTGTCAAAACTTATTAGCGAGACCAGACCAGCATGAATCTTATGTCAATCAAGGTGTCCTCGAGATTACCTCTGATTGTTTAATAGTACATCTCTGGAGAACTAAGTAAATGAACTATTATTTTTTTAAATAGGTTTTGCTATCCACTAGTATGATATTTAGAACGAAACTGAGAATATCATGGCAAAGAACATAACAAAGAAGAAATAATGTAATTCGGATTTAATGAGTTGCATAAATTGTCAATAATATACTAGTTTGTCAAATGTTTATAAAATGATTAAAAAATATTGAGGTGTTTGAAACTCGTTCGTATTAATTTCGGTGTTACTAGGTGTAAGTGTTTTCTGTGAAAAGTAAACTTCAGTTCTGGCAACATCACTTACAACGAACTTTCCAAATTGAAGGTTATATAATTAATTGAAGATAATTAAACATGTTGAAATGTCTGTATTTGGAATGGAAGCAATGAAATGAAACTAGTTGATGAATTCATCAAATACTATCGATCTTCTTTCAAGTTTGTGAAGGATACCAATTTTATGAAAGTTCTAGCGTTTACGACAAGATTCTGGGGGCATCATTTTACCATAGTAACAATAAATTATTTGAATTTGTTACAAGAATTAGTTACTGAATCTGTTAATTTTAGGTTATGGATAAAGGAGTTTAGTAGACCGGAAAAGTCGAAAATAATGTCAGGACATTCAGATAAGGATGATTGATTCTAAGATAATCAGTCACATCGTTATTATTGGGATAAAGACGTTTGGAAGTTATAATTCTATTTGCGACCTTACGCATGTGTATAAACTTGTATAAACCCTTTGTTGGTTCTATAGATTTTGAAGTGGTTTTATACAGTTTTCGCCCTTCGGAAATAGTAGTGAAATTGTATTGTAAATATGAAGTAGGTTTTCTTAGATAATTCAGCGAGTAGGACATCAATTCTTTTTATCCCAAAGACTGATTTTTACTAATAATATTTTTGATTGATATTCCAGTAGTTTCAAATGAGTTTCTTTTTTTTTTTAATGCTTCATTGTGTATAACATAATTTTTTGGTTTTCTGAAAAAAGATTTCAGCATGTAATGATTACGAGTGTGGAACATTTTCTGAAGTTCTCCAAGTTCAAACTCTTCCACATGAATTATTAAAAACACCGTCACTCATATCTGTTACTGTACATCAAGCAAATAAAGTGAAAATATCATTTTTCAGTGACTATATAGATAGAGATGAATATTACACTGAACAAATGAAAGGTTATTTAGTAAGTATACTTCAAAGCAAACATGCTTATTTGAACTTTTGGTTTTATATACTTAACATTGTTAATGTAGTTTTAGTAAACGAGAACTTAGGTACGACAAATCAATTTATTATTATATGCAAAATTGTACAGTGTCTATATAAAATATGAAAATCATACATTAAATGGATTATTTGTGCGTCTTCCTTCAGTTGTCTATTACAGGCTTAATGCTTAATTTAATTCTGTAGTCACTACATTCACTCTCTGTTTCGCTTCCTTTTCTTTTTAATTTAATGTTCTGCTGGCAAACATTTTTGTTTCCGATTGCTGCTACACATTACTTAAATATATCTGCATATGTAGCGTACACCACATAGTTATTACGGATATGAAAGTGGTTTACATTGTTGAGTAATGATAAAATAATGTACTGAAATGGTTTATACTGACTTGATGTGTGTGCTTTGTTTAAATATTAACTCACCTAATGTTAGTAAAATGTAATTCTATTATCAGACTGACAATATACGAACCCATTTTTAGAAGAAATATCAACTTTATAAATGTATTTTACTAACTATACCACTGTATTTCACTGTAGCTGGAAGTTATCTTGGTTCACAATTAGATGTAGAAGATAAAAAAAATAATGGATCATTGAATACTGAAAGATGTATTAAGTACAAATCCTGAAAATGTTAAATTCTGTACTAAACAGTCTTTTCCGAATATTTGTTATTATTTATATTTTAAAAAGTGTATAGCTTGTTGAGTAATCCATGTTGTGATAAGTGGTCAAAGCCTTACATAGTCGAGCTTCACTGGTTAAGGTCTATAAATCTCCAAATATTTCCTCTGAAATTTCACCACTTTTGAGTACATCCTGTAGGTTCGATCTACTGAAGTCGTGGAAATGATCTGCTTAGTAGTTCCATGAATTAAATAAATAATTGTCCAGTACTTCCCACACTTGTTGTTCAATTTCCAAAGACATGGTATACTAGCTTTTTTCCCTAACAACTATCAGTTTCAGCGCAGTTAAAATTTACTTTTTGAGTAGCGAATTCTCTGTATGTTAAGCACGTGTTGTGCTGAATTTTTCAAAACCATAATGATCAATAATGAACCAAAATGAGTAATAAAATTAAAAACCCAGTGATATACTTTCATTTGTGTTCCGTTTTCTAGGCCAGATAGGTCTGTTTTTAGAAGGTCTTGGCTATTTTAGTAAAAAATATAATGAAAGCTTCGGAAACAACCTAATAATGTAGAAACATTTGATATACCTTAGCTGATTATTCTCTCACTTTTGTGTGTCTGCATATTCCTTAATGTTCTTTTAATTTTCTCTATTCATCTTTAGATTAAATTATCTTGCATTGATCCACCTGGTTGTTCCGACTTGCAAGTGTATTTACCATTAGAATGTGTCACGGACTCTGAAACGTTTGCTGCTGAACACTTTAATGTTAACCACGAAAACATGATTAACAATCAGCGTTGTAATGAATTAAACCCCTTCGAAAACTCCACAGTATTGTTCAGTGCAAATGTGAATAGAAGTAACCATCAGATTTCAATTACTTTGAATTCACTTAGTCCATATACTTTATACGAATTGTTTATTGCTTACGTATATATCAGTCGAGTTGGTCCGTTCAGTAAACCAGCCGAGGTGTTTCGTACAACTGAAGATGGCAAGTTATAAATTGTTATCAAAAACTTTACTATTGAACTATTTTATTCATAAACTTTCCCTTTTACTGTCATTAGGTCATGCGTTCTATGTTCATGATCGTGGATGCACACTGTTGAAGAATACCAGACTAAGACGAAAAGGCCTTTAGGTACTTTCGAGTTTTCAATCATGATCTAACATTGATCAGTTCCTGATTTTAAGTGCAAGTCGAATTAAATGATAAAATAGTTTTCACAGACAAATAGTGTTCAAACATCCACACTCACTTTTAGAATGAAATAAAGCAGTGGGTATTATTCTATTCAATTTCTATAAACAATCATATCAATAACTAGGAGTTATTTATCGTTCTAAAGTTTACTATGGTTCTGTAAATGATATTGATAGCTAAAGAATGGTTTCAATCTAGTTTACATAATTTGCATATATAGCGTACAAAGTTTTTTTTCTTGATTGAAATACTTAATAACATTGTTCTTAATGAATTGATATATTTTACATGATAATTGACATCATCTTTCTTGATATCGAATTCTGTTTAAATCAATGATGCAATTATTGATATATACTTATCATTCAACTTTTTCTTCTTATGAGTATCAAACATCAAGTGTACCAGAAACCTCTTTAGTTTGAAATAAATTACATCTTGAGTTTAAAAAAAAAGAAGCATTCAATTTCATTTCATTTCAAGTGGTGTTCTTATTTTCTCAATAAAACCTCCACAAAATTTAATCCTCTTAAATGTACTGTTATACAATAAGCTTGAATGGTATCTTATGTGGAGTTATATAACTTTCAAAACTATAATTAGTGCTCAATCACGTGTTTCCACTCTGGGCAAATGTATACATCAGAAGGGAGAGGCAGTGGTAATCCCTCCATTTAAGTATATTGTTTACTAACAATTGATAAATCTGTAACGGAATGAAATTTAGAGAATATCATACCGAACAGTCTGTGATATCCATAGCTCTGTTTGTACACAAAAGAAGAACATAGTCTTTCCGAGTTAAGTCATGTGACGAAGTCTTTATGGTTTAACAAAAGATCATTGACAAACCTAATTGTAACTGGCCAACGTAAAAATCCAGGAGAGTTGAAAATCCTATTTTGAACCCAATGTTCAACTGGAATTTCAGTAATTTTAACCAGAAAATTAAATCGTTGTATTCTATGATAATTCTGATATAGAAATTAGTTACTAAAATATATTTGTGAATTAAACAGTCTACTTTCTTCAGTATTTTCTTAAACAAGTTCCTAACTATGCGTAGCTGACGTTACATTTGTGTGGACTGTTTTGCACTCATCCTGTAAAACAGATTTTAGTTCAATGAAGAATGATAATTTTAAAAATTCCTTGAATCCCTAATGATTAAAAATTACTTTCGAAATGTTCAAATTGTAGTTCCTTCTCGAATTATCAATTTAATGGTTAACACTGATGGTAGAGATGGTCTTATTGTTGAATGGGATGCACCAGAAAAACCAAATGGAAAAATATTACAATATATACTACACTATACTGAGGTAAGTTATAAAATGTTTAATCCCGTTAGCCTTTTAATTGATAAATAATTTGACAAGGAAATAAGTTCGAACTGAAAATCTTTCAAAAAATATCAAGTTATTACAATAATTTGCTCATTTTCATTATTTCACGTGATAGTATTTATCTGGTTGTTTAGTATTATTCATTTCCAATAATAACATAATGTCGATATTTGGAAAACTGATTCCTGTACAAAGCTTCATTATTTTGACCAGAATTGTTCTCCACATTGCTTACTGAACAGATAATGTAAACATCTTGGTCCTTCGAAAAGTTATTCGGGGAAGCAATAGCTCACTGATAACGTCTCACACTGTGAATGGCGGTCACGCGTGCGTACTCTTAACGAGTCCTTAGTAGACTGAAAGATTACTTCCGAATACTACTAACCACCTGACATTGAAACATAGTTTTAAATTTTGCTACAGTGTCTAGTCTGTTAAAGTCAACATAGGACATAGTAGGAATGTTTATCAATCCGTATTTTAACATCTCTCATCATCGTTGAGTGAAAGGCGATTAACGATCTGAAAAGCATTTGAAAAAGATTACGACCAAGTGAAATGATAGATTTAAACATGAAGAGCACTAAAAATTATCCGCACACCTTTTATTCGCTTCAAGGACTCAAGTTACTTCTGCATCACACTCATCAAGTGAAACAGTTGATTACCAATAAATGGTAAATAATCTCTAAGATTTACCAAAGTTTACAAGTTTGTCATCAGTTTCATGCAACTACTTTTCACATATCTCATAAAGTATATGCGGTTTAGTGGATGTATTTTTAAAGTGCCGAAACCCAGCTTCACGCCAACTTACATTTTAAAAACGATTCGGTTGTTCGAAAAATGTAGTAGATACCTACACCAACTGAACCGCGATTAACAGAAACTCAACAAAATGTGGGCTAGTTCAAGATGCTTTAGCAATGAACACTCTCTGGCTACCGTACCCAGAATCTTCAAGTCCTCATGTCAAAAACATTTACAATCTGAACCATTCAATTGGAGTCCGTTACTTTTTATTTCGAAATTAATTAATTGCCATCTAGCATAAAAATTTCATCAGCGATATTTGCAGCTATACAAAAAAAAAAGCTTAAAAGAACAAAATTCTGCATATAACTCGATTACAATAATATATTTTGACACTGAACACGCCAAACCGGCTTATTAGATCCTACTGAATTGTCCTTATATGACTACTGATTAGGTTCTATTAAAAAGGAGAATGGTAATAAATTAGCACGAGAACTTACGTGAAGAACGATTGTATAACTCACCAAGAAAACCTGGTATGGATTATTAAGTAATTCAGAATTCTGTTGAGTGCAAAAATTAAATATTTATAGGATTAATTTTATCAGCATCATGTATATCCCAAGCGAATTACCTCGATTTTGCTATTTATCCACAAGTTTTTAGTATATATACTAACGGTGGAACCCAAGATGCTGATTTTATCGTGTACCGTGCTTGTCAGCTAGATGTCCTTGTATTCATGTTAAATTTCACATTTGAGCTCGAATCCAATACTTCCATCTCATAAGAAAAACGCGTTGTTTACTGAATTATTGTGTTTTAGCAGTCATAAGATGGTACAACGGATTGTTTTAAGTTAAAATATCAGTGGATGATGTATTGGACGTTTAAAGAGAAGAGCATTGATTTAAAGTTCCAGTGTGAACATGAACGCACTAGCAGATACATCTAGATAGACAGTCTTGAATACGAGTAAACGGTTATTTCAGCTTTTTTTAAAGCTAAAATCCAGCTTTAATGGAATCTATTAGTTTAAACCCTTAACTTCTTTCAATTTGTAATATAATTTAATCTGATCTCATTGATTTTCATTACTTGATAGTTTATGCTAATCGGTTGAATACTAAAATGAGAGCTACTGTATAAAGTTAATAAATTTAAAGTAAAGAATATACACAAAAAAGTTCGTAGTTTGAAATACATTTTTTCAGCCTCATCTCAATCATATAAGACATTCATTTATGTCACTAGTGAACATGTTAAGTAATTTTCTAGTTGAATACGTGAGTCGATTAAAGCCAGACCACCATTGAAAACCTAGAAGGACCGGAGGTCTGTTTCACCCTAGTATGTCACTTATCAGCAGCGCGCATCCACAATCCAGCTCGCAGGAGAAGCTGTGACCAGTGGAGTTCAATGGTGTCTGTCGTAAGGCAGTTGCCTACTGAATACAATGCTGGGCGATGGCTCAACTTCGTGAATTGATTGAAGTTAGACATTAACACCGTTGGATGCAGAATCAGTGATCTAGAGGTTAGGCGTTTGCGCGTGAAACCAAAGATCCTGGGTTCGATTCACAAGTGTGGGATCGTGGATTCGCATTATTGAGGAGAAACGTCCGTCTGTTGCTTCCAAATTTTCAATTGTGGTCTAGCTTTAATCAACTCATGGATTCAACTATGAAATTACTACAATCTCCACAAAACTCCATTCTGATAAAAATGTTAAATGACACAAAGAAAGTAAATTGAATTATTAAATTATTTTGTTTTTTTAATAAATAAAATATAAATTAATTTACATATTTAAATAATTAATTCATACATGAGTAACATTAATACAAATCTACTAATAAATAAATAAGATACACGTGCTGGAACCTAGTAAACATGAAATATTCAATTGTCTATGATACTTACTACTAGATAAATGAACTATGGTGCAAAAGTTTGACCAACGTTCGAATAATTTATGATTGGCTTCCTTTTTTTTTCGTGTTTTTTTTAAAAAAGATCTATTACACATTTGTATTCAATAAAATGCACTATAAATATATTCATGAATAAAATCAGTAAGCAATAAAAGTAATATAAGAAGTTCATAGGTTTATGGTAACTGTAAGAGAATATGTAAATCACTTCAGTGGTAGGTTAGTTTTCAAACTGTCAACCATTATAAGTAAAGATGGATGATTTCTAGCAGTGGAATCCAGGACATCATCATCTATCTTCGTTTATGATTCATGTGACTTTAGCCAATATCAATGCAATGCACACACGATACACATATGCCAATAAGATACTGATTAATCGTAGTCCTAAACATTAGTGGAAAGATTCAAACGACCAATATAAAAATGAATTAAAAATGTGTCAAGCATTTAAAATCACACACATTTTGACTGAACATAATTCTTTTAATGAGTTATAGTCTTTTATAGATATGAGTGACAGGAAAATGTATGGAGTTAATAATACAAATAATTTTTCCCCTGATTCAGGTTTGAACAAAATTACTATAATACCCCGACGAGAATTATGAATGGTAACTCTTGAGAATCATTTATTGATCAATACGATGCATATATATTTATTGTGTAATTATTAAGTAGCTATACTATGCATTTTCATGCTTCTCTTATTATAAGCTTTATTTTGACCTATAAAGTATTATTATACGATTTCCCATTCTTGAGTTATGCCCAGTCTATTAATTACAGTCTTCCACATTCACAACCACTTTTGATTAGATCTTGTACAAATGTTATTTTCTATTTTATGGTGCGATGTGGTCTGTTTAGTATGTATACAAACCCAGTATATTTGAAACACGTGATTCATATTTCAGAGGCTGAGATTGGTGTTTTGGACTTAACAGGCAGGGCTAGGTGGGAAGAAAGACCGATACACTCTCTAGACTGCTCGTACAGGTTTTATGCGTCATTGGTCCGGTCGATAAATCAGTGTTCTCTATTTGGTGGTATCATCACGTTATGTATTAATAGGGCACAAGGCCACAAATTATGACAACTACCAATATTTGTTGATAATGAAAAATGCCCAAATATTCCATACTCTTCAATTAGCTGATAGCGGATACAGAACGTAGGTTATGATTGTGATGAATGAAAGCTTATAAGAGTTATTTTAGTAGTTTTGAGAAAATCATGATGAATTTCATGCTGAATTAATTTTTATAAAACACTCAAGAGAACAATAATAACTGATTTGAAGACAAATTAATGCATTTCTATAAATAACTTGTGACCTTAACTAGATTAGTCAGATATCAGTGACATTTAATGGGTAAAAAATGGACTGGATTCGGAAGTGATAATTTATTAATGTTTACGTTATTGATCGAAGAACAATGAATTCTTTCCGACATCATATGATATTAGATTAGATTGCTTGAAATATCGTTGATATGTACTGTTGGTGAATCCCATAACGGGATAATAATGACTGTTTAGTGCTCGAATCTTCTTATTGTTCCATAGTCGATATCAATATGTGATGACAAATGCTTCTACTTAACAAGTTCATTTTACAGCATTCTGTATCTTTTCAAGATAAATGAAACAAATAAAATAGCATAAACTTCACTAAAATATACTTATGATTTATTTGTGACTTTTATCACATTTCATTGTTACCTTTCTTCTTCCTTGTAGATTAAACCTATTGATTCATTAATTGACATTCACCGTCAATATGATCATGTAGAAGGTGAATATAATACAACACTGACTTTTATGAATCAAAGAATTAACCAAAACAGTAGTTATGATAATTATATTAGTTATTGGAATGAACAATCAATTCATCAATATCCAATAATAGACCACTTACAATCAGCTTATACAAAAGATCCTAATTTTATCCAATCTATACAAACTAGAACTTATGACAATAGAAAGTATGCTGGCTATTATAGTTTAAATCGAACAATTAATCGTGTACATATTAAATCATTAATTCATAAACATATTTATCAAATAAGAATGTTTGCATTGAATACAGCTGGATTAAGTCCGGTTAGTTTACAATTAGGCATTACATCATTATTACCAGAATTGAAATACAAACATCAGTATACCGATCAAAATTTTATACAATGGATTAATTTAATACATTCAAATAAACATCAAGAGAAAATATTTAAATGGTTAAATAATACGCGGATACAGTTTCTCAGTGAACCAATTATTTCAAAGATAAATGTAAGAATTATTATTTCTTTTTTATTCCTGAAAAAAAGTTGTTTACTGTGAAACAACATAGTGGGTTTCTTTTTCCTAATAAGGAGATATGTTCTGGATATGATCTCGTTAGTAATTGTACCACTGATTGAAATTAGCTGATACACTTACTGTAAATGTGTAATAGGCATTTGGTGAAACTTGATATTTTACAATATTAAGGTAGTGAAATTATATTATTTAATACTGATATAAATAGAGTGAAAGATGTTTTTCTATGAAATTACGTAATGCTAAAGTATATCGATGAAATAATGATAAAATATGTTTTATAAAATTTCATCTGTTCAAGTTGAATAATTCTTTTTAAATATACAGTCTATGAAAAAGAGGTTAAGAGTAGAACACATCTACGGTCGTACACGTGAGACTCGAACCCAAGACGTTCGGTCTCGCGAGCGAACGTTTAACCTCTAGACCACCGAGACGGCATCCAACAGTGTTAATCCATAATTTCAATTGATCTAGTTTAGAATGACTTATGAATTCAACTGTTAAAGGTTAACAAGCAAAGATTCCACTTTCAACATAGGTGAATGGTACAAGTTACTTTATATTAGTAGACGTTTTTCGAAGTTTTCTGAAATTAAGTCACAAACCACATGATGAGTACTTTTTTAGACTCGGAATTTCAACCCTGACTTTGTCGTCAGTATGCTTTCTAATGGATACTCTAAAAAGCAGTTATCCAGTGCTTCTTCTTTTTCTTCAACTGTTGAATCACATTCAGTCCTTGATACAAACTATCTTTGGACCATAAAAAACTATCACTTTATTTTATTTATATGAATTTAATTTTTTTTAGTTTTATTAGATTCAGTTTCTTTAGAATGATTTCTTTTTCTGTTGTCAAACTTATAAATTCTATCCAACTTCATGATTTTCTTTTCAGTCAATATCTTTAATGTAAGTCTGTACATAGTCCGCTTTCCCTTCGATTTTATCTCGTTCATTAATCATGATTATGTGTTCATTTGGTCACATAAAAGCCATTATACTGTGGTACATATATATATATATATATATATATATATATATATATATATATATAAATCGTTTGACTACATATTTTCGTACCACTTTACTTGTAACCGATCATTGATACATATAGGGAGATATATCAGAAATTTATTTGCTTTTCAAAAAAAAAAATCATGATTTATTATTTTCCAATTTTACTGTTTACATTTTAGAAAATAACACAGTGAAGAAAGAAAATCAAAAGACAAATTATTGTTCTTTTTTCTTACACCTGAGATACACTTTTTTCTGTTTTGTTCAGAAGAAATAAGCAAGGCACAAAACAAACTTCAATGATGATGAAATATACATAATACATTTTCCGTCAATTCATAATCATAAAACAATTACTAAAAGTTAGAGTTATCCTGATGTTGACATTTACAACTGAGATTTGTTGACATATAAGAATCCTGTTACAAGTTTTACATAGAATAGACGGATGTTCACTTTGGGATTCAAAGTCAATACTTTTCGTTTCCATAGTCTATGAGTTATACATTTGATCTTTTGAGTTCAGTTAGCTATCAACTAGTTAGTGAGCATTATTTCATCCTTTCAATATTGGTTGGACACTTCTCTCATGCTGTAAAATAATAAATATACTATATATACCTAACAGTCTCTTAACTGATTGTCTTCCCAAATGGTCAGCAAGACTGAGTCAAGACACATTTAATCAAATACTAGGTCTTACTTTGTAGAACACTGATTGAAGGAGCCTTAGGAAAACATTTCAACAATTCTTTGATTCCATATTTATGGAACATTAGGATGAGTTTGAATTCCATATTCGAATCAAAACCCTATTTTATCGACTTTTTTGTAATAGAGATTCTGTCCCGCAGAGACATTATACAGGCTTACTTCTCTTTATTCATTCACATATCATTGACCATCTACGAATAACTGTCTTTTATGTGGTATCTAGGCCACATTATATTTAAATACAACGTACTGTGTTACTCTATATTTCTAATGAAACACATCTCATGATGGAAATTAGTAACTGATCAGTATTCCTCAACTTGAGAAAATATATACTTGAAAACGGTACTATGATTAAATTCTATATAAAAAAACACACCTTTATTGTTTAAAACTTTTTTATTAAGGGATAGTAATCACTTAAAACATTATCTGTTTTTTAAGCTGCAGGTTACCTTTACTATAACTCTTCACAATATTTTCAGGAACTTTTAACCACAGAAGACAAATTTTGAAATAACTATTTCTCTAAAAAAAAAGTATTCAAGAATTCTCATCTTTCCCATCAACATTTTTTTAACGGAATCTATTTCAGGCTCATAATGCAGAATTTTCAATTGAATTCAATCTAAAATTAGATGGAAATATTTCTCATTCCAACCAATCTACTCCAGTTGTAGGCGCTTTTTCACGAATAATAAAATTAATTGAAAAGTGTAAATGGCCAATAAAAATACAAAAAATTCCTTTAATTGGTTATCAAGCTTTAAACGGAAATGATCATATAAACTCTTTGAATTGGGTAACTCACTTTTTTAATTAATTGAAACTCAATCTTATATGATAGTTTAATTATTTATCGTACCAGATGTTGATTATATTTGAAGAAATCTTTTGTGTAGTTGAGATATATGCTTATGACTAAAATATAATCTTCACATTGATTTTTAAAACTGCAATTGATCGGTTTTTTATTAGCATTTGTGCATACTGTGCGTATTGCTTCGATGTTGCCTTAATTCACAAGCATTATAATCAAAGATGGATACTCGCAGTATGCACATATGCCAATAAGATAATGATCGATTGCCATCCTAACCATCAATAGGAAGATTCAAGTAAACAATAACAAGTGAATTCAAACTTCACGTATTGCACAAGCAAGTGACTATCAAGACTCATTAGCTAAGTGGATAACGCGATGGTGTTTAAAGCGATTGTTACTGGGTTCAAGTCGCAGAGTGAACAACAACTGTGGGATGTAGGTACATTCAACTGACGAGTCCCAAATAGGATGAAACGTGTGTTTTGGATTCCACTGCTAGAGACTATACACCTTTGTTTATATAAACAGTTTATTATTAAATACTGCTTTATATTATTTACAAATATAAGCGTTTTCTATAATCATACATTTTGATGTTAAAATAAAACATTCTGCATAACAGACAAACGATTGAATATCGAACAATCTACAGTTTACTCAAGCGTACATATTTCGAAGAATTCATCCTTTCTGGAAGAGTATAACAAGTTACTAATATTAATAAAATCTGAAACAACTTGCCAATTTAACTTGAAGTGTTACGTCGTTGTGTTTCTCATTCTGTAGGTGTTTTTCCTTAATAAACTTTGATTTTAAAACAAATTCAATATAAATTAAGAAAATTATTTAAACTATCTCAAATATTCAATGTCTAAATGTGATCAAGATATTTAGACCTAATATGGCTAATTTATAATAAATTTTAAATACCTATGAATTTCTATAAATATAATAAGATTTTCATTTTAACTGATACTACGGTGTAATTTACTATGTGAAAGGGGGGTTTGGAAACTTAATATTATAATTCTAAACATTATCTTACAAGGTTTAACAAACGAAAGTTAATAGAAAGTTCTACTTTCAGAAAATCAGCTAAAAACCTAACATGAAATATCACCCTTTTGAAATTATTAATCGAATCCCAGAATTCTAGCATTCACGTTCATTCTGTTCCTTTCTATATATATATTGCCATTTAATAGGTGAAAGCAATAAATTTCTTGGTGTTACCTGGAAATTTGATATCATCCTTAAAATATAAACAGTTTTTTTTCTGAACTGAATAATCCAGCTTTATATAAATTATCAATTTAGCATTAGAGTTAGAAATGTAATCAATCAATAATGACTATAGCTAAATTCTATTCAAGTAATTTTCTTAAATATAGAGTTAGTGAGATAAAGAGACAAATATGTCGGTCAGTGATTATATCAAAAAGAATGATAATAGCGATATTAAAATGATAAAACATACAAACGGTAAAAAAGAATATCGGCAAAATGTTTTATAACAATCACAAATATTTGTGATTCGATTCTATCTTGAATGATAATTCACTGAAAATAAAAGATTTTAGGAGTGCAATAAGAGTTTTCAATTTACCATCCGTTATTAACTATACACTATTGTCACTAGGTATTGTATCAAATCAAACAAAAGTAATTTATTGTTTATTAGTTGTTTTTTTTTCGTTTGGTTACTCAAACTAAAATTCTTTGTTTAAAATCTTGTTTTGTATATACAACTTAGTTCAATGTCATCGTTGTAGGTAGGTCAAATTTAATAATACTAAGGGTAGTTCAAGATTTAAATCTTCTATTTACTATATCATTTGAATAGATACTTTGATTTTGATAACACTTTTAAAGACTTATTGTTATCATAACAGTAAGTTAGAATTATAGACTTAAATCAAATGGAAACCATTTTCAAATGAACAGTTTTCGAGAGTTGAAATAGATGAAAAGTAAAGGAACACAGTTCTTTACTTCAATGTTTGCGTTATATATCTATATAAAATAACAAATGGTGGAGAAGATTTGTAGCTCAGGTGGATGATTTTGATGGAGTTTTGTTCTCTAAGCTAGATGGTTTGGTTGTGGAGCTTTCATCGTTCTTCTGAACGACATCATCAACGCAAACTTCAGATCTCCACAACCAAACCATCCAGCTCAGAGAACAAAACTCCATCAAAATCATCCACCTGAGCTACAAATTTTCACCATCTCGTTTTATCGAAGTATAACTGAATAATGAAAAGATTCAACGAATTAGTGATTTTTATGAAATTTTCAACTTTTCAAAGATTATATGATAGTCCGATCATTACTGACTTAATTACACCTGTTACCCCACGTCAATGAGGATAGACCGAGCACCAACCTTCTCCATTCACCTCTGTTCTGGACAATCTTTTCCAGTTGTTTGCAGTGGTTATTGATTTTTTTGATGTCTGCTTTCGATTCCCGACTCAGTGTGTTCTTTGGTCTTCCTTTTTTCTGTTTCCCTTCAGGATTCCAAGTTAAGGATTGCTTCGTGATACAATTTGATGATTTCCATAATGTATGTCTCATCCATTCCCAACGTCTCTACCCGATTTCCTCCTCAGCTGGAAGTTGATTTGTTCTCTCCCACAGTAGTCTATTGCTGATGGTATCCAGCCAGCAGACATTTAGTATCTTGAGTAGACAATTGTTTTTAAATACGTATACCTTTTTGATGATGGTTGTAGTAGTTCTCCAAAATTCATCTCCATACATTAGAACTGTCTTGACGTCTGTATTGAAGATTTTGGCTTTGAGTTCCATATGTTCTTCTACTGTATGTATGCTTCTCTGTCTCTCAAATATATAACAGTTAAGAGGAGTTTAAAGTATCAAAGCCATAACTTATTCAGTATTTTGTGGAAAAGTACCGATACAGTTTAAGACGTAACAAATTCTGAATACTGAAGAAATAGTATGAACAGAATCTATGTCAAATTATACCAGAATCAGACAATGATCTATAAGATTATTGATGCAAAATATAACTTTGCACACCAACAGTATACATATTCTACGTTATTTTTCTACAAAGTTAATTTCTAACATTATCATTTTATCTTGCGCAAAGTAATCATTCATAATGATGTACAGTTTTATTTCTCAGAAGCGGTTTTTGTGGATATTATAATAATTTTAATAGTTGAGATCATGAATCAATTGAAACTAGACAACTGTGAAAAACCTTGATGCACTGGATGGCCTCTTCGTCTTATTGTGGAACACAGCAGTGCGCATTCACGATCCCGTCTCACGGGGTTCGCGCATCAGACCTATAGGTCCTGAGTTCGAATCTCGCGAAGCGTCATCGTGGATGTGCATTCCTGAAGTGTCCCACAATAGGAAGAAACGGTCGTCCAGTACTTCTAGGTTTTCCATGGTAGTCTTGTTTCAATTGACTAATGATCTCAACTATAAAAATTTTAATTCTGATAACTTATTTATTGATATAAGTAGTTTTTGTAATTGTCTGTCAATATTTCAAAGTTGATGATTTCATTCTAAAAACAATAATTAAAAATATATTCTTAAAAGATTTACTATTCCTATTCTATGTATTAATTAATTTGTCGCTAATTGGTGCCACTTTACAATCTTGTCAATTAAATGTCATCAGAGAAATGAGAAACGTTTTTCAATGTTTTCATTCTTGTATATAACTTACTGAATGAATAATTATTTTCTTTGTTTGTTTGTTTTTATTTCTATATTTATCCAATTGTATAACAAAACACTTTTAGAGAATAATCACAGCATATAAATATACTACTAGTCCATCATTGAAATTATCTTTAACAGAATCGACTAAATTCAATGTTAATGAAGGAGTACAACTGACGTTATCATTTAAATTATTTAATTTATCCAGTTATAATTATTATCGATTTGAAGTTTGGCAACCGATCGGTTTACTTTTTGGTAATTATAACCAAATAGCTAGCAAAATTTTGTATCATTCAAATTTATCTAAATGGTTTAAAATTGAATGTGAACCGCCATCAGTGTCGCCATCATTAGTATCTACTCATATGTTGAATTTAGATCAAATGAAAATTATATGGCAGGTATGTTTGGAATAATTTATGAATTGAAATTTCTATAAAACTTTAATTTTACACTAAAAAGAAATATCAACATCCCTATGCTTATTTGTTATTCATCATATGTTTAAATATTATCTTTCTTCCTATAATATATCATTCAAATTAACTAGTCTTTTAAATACTACTGATTTCAATCTTTATAAATTGTTATTCAAGCATACCGACAAAGAATAAATTGGTTTTCAAATATATGTAATCACTAGAATCTATGGATTTTTATTATTATCAGAATAGGGATTTGTGGAGATTGTAGTAATTTTTATCGTTGAATCCATGAGTCAAATAAAGCTAGACCACCATTTAAAATCTGGAATCACAAAACGACCGGTTCGTCCTAGTATGAGACTTCTCAGCAATGGGACTCTTACCTTCTGTCTTGTACATGGACGGTTTACCCCTAGACCACTGATGTGGCATTTAATGTTGGTGATGTTTAACTTTAACCGATTCATACTCTTGCGCAACCCTTTATTTAATGCATGAACTGGATACCTCTCTCTACTCCACATAAATTGGACTGCACAGATCACGGTTTCCCATTAGAACTTCAGAAAATCCATTTTGAAGCTAATCATTATTGAGCGTAGATCGTCTCATGAATTCAACTATTAGAATTTACATCACTTTGCTATAATTTATACATAGATAAATGGTTCACCAATAAATTCAAATATATATTGCTTTTTATTTTATTTTTGAACTCAGTTAATAAAATACAGATAGAAGGAATATAAACGCCGATAAGTTTTTAAATATTCACAATACAATTGGTTTAATTTGGATATGGAATGCTTGACGATTATAATTCAGCTAGATTTCTTTTCATAACCTAATTTTTTTATATTTAATAATTATACTGATAACAGACATAAGATAGTAAATAAGAATTTTCGTCTAAATTTGAACGAATAGTTTCACAATATTTGGGCGCCGAGTTAATGTGAATCATTAAAGAGGAATAATATATATTTGTAAAATCTCAGCGAAAGAATTTGAAGTAAATCCAACGTTTCGCCTGGCGATCTGGTCCAAGTTTATCGATAATTTTGTTGTTTGATTATATTTTCCTTGAAAAAGCTTGGACCAGATTGCCAGGCGAAACGTTGGATTTACTTCAAATTCTTTCGCTGAGATTTTACAAATACATTCTTCCTCTTTAATGTCAGACATAGGATAGTCTTATGAAAGTCAATAACAGAAAATAGAGCATTCATTAATTTTGTTTGTCACTAATCTGATCTAACTAGTGATGTATTAACTTAGATAGTGGGGCGGTTGTTTCATTATTTAGTATTGTTTTGTAGTTACTATTTATGTGATTTACTTGAAACATTCAGTTTCTGAATAGTTTACCGAACATTATTAAAATGTATATTATTTTAAACGGAATATACCCACCGAGACATAGATGAAAAAAACATTAGTTTAGCAAAGTGTTCTCTTTTCGGTGAATAATTGTGCAATCAAAACTGTTTATATCACACAAAATGTTTTACTTACAAGTAACTATAAAAAAATGTTCTTAACTTTCATTAGGACAAATAGTTGAAAGATGTTCATCATATAAATTATTATTTGTTGGACCATATGTTTGAAATTTCAAAATAATATAAGCAATTATAAGCAGGGATGGATGGTGACCAACATTGGAATCCGGGACACGCGTTTCGTCATTTTTGGGACCCGTCAGAAAGTGTACCCGCATCCCAGATTCGATGTTCACTCAAGGACTCGAAACCAGTAACGTTTCCTTCGATAGTCATAGAGTTATCCACCTCTGTTTAGGAAGTTTGTGACTTAAAGTAATATTGAGGTCATCTGCATAAGATGCACATATGCCAATAAGACGCGGATCAATTACGGTCCTAAACATCAAACAACCAGTACAAAAATGGACTAATCTAAATAATCGTTTTTACAGAGTACATCTTATTTAGATTCATGTTGTAGGTTAATAATAATGAAAGACGTAGCGATGAAAAATCAAATCGTAGTTATATTACGGGTAAATTAATAGTTCGTTGTTCTAAGAGAACAAAGTGTTCTGTGTGAATTATAATCTACTTTAAATAGCAAATTATTTACTTAATAGAAATTCAGTCTTTAATTTACAACTTCACTGACGGTATTACTATAAATAATGTAAAAAATACACTTATCATTTACTCGAAGTATCAGTTACCATTATCACTATGGGAATTGTGGAGATTGTAGTATTTTTACACTAAAAATTACGAGTGGATCTGAGCTAGATCACCACTAAAAGCCTGGGTTCAAGTCCCGCGTGCGTGATCTTAGGTGCGCACTGCCGAAAAGTCCCGTACTAGGACGGAAAGGTCGTCCAGCACTTCCAAGTTTTTAATGGTGGTATAACTTAGACCGATTCGTGATTTCAACCGTAAAATCTATTCTGATTGCTCAAATTATGCTCAAAAATTACGGTTCACTAAAAAATCATTTACAACCTAGAAACTAAGCTAAATGTGACAAAGACGGTATTTTCTGTGAGCAATGCTGTTTTAAACATGATTTTTCGTCTTAACAGATTAAAGATACTAAAATTGTCTCTTTTTTACCTCAAACGTTTTGAGATGCCTCCTAATATCCGATGATATTTCTCAACTATTACTTATGAACTGTGCTTACACGCATTGTATGCAGAGATACGTGAAACGGTAAGGGAATGGAGCGACTTTACGTCTGAGGACGTCAATGAACAAAGTGACATATGTAAGGGATCTATCAATGTACGTCAAAGCTATAAAACAAAACTTTTATATTTCGATCGCTCACGTCTAGATAAAAGAGATACATTATATTGCTAAATACGCCCTGCTATAGTCACTAGAGTATGAAGATAGAATTTATAATAGATGGAAAGGCGATTTTTGTGCCTTATTCTATGACTTCCCCTTATTATGTGTTAATTTTGTCAGATGATTAAAAGCTGTAAGCTTATTCACCACAGATGCTTTTATTGAAACAATTTTTAAACTTTGTTTACTTAAACTTTGTTGATTTATAAAATTCAGCCTCTTTCTCCGGAGGAGTGGAATGGAATACCTGGTGGGTACTTAATTACAATTCAGGAAGCTGAAAGCGAACATACACACAGTTTAATGACAACTTATCCGAATCACGATCACATGTATAGTGCAAATGAAACAGTAAAAATTCAAATTATTCAAAGCAAGTGTGGTTTAGATTATTTACAAATATTTATTAATGATAGCACGGCTTTCTCATATATCACTGGAGATTTGAAATTCGATAGTGATTACATAATAAGTATTCGTGCTGCAAGTGTAGAAATCGGAAATTCTGACAAATGGTTATTGGGTCCACAAACTGTTATTCAACATTTGTCAATTTACAAACAAGCAAAAAATAATGAAGACATAAGATTTCTAATTTCGATGAGAACGTCAAAATTTATTCCATACAATCTTAATGTTTCACGTGAACTAGATTGGGTAGTTGTGAGTTGGAAAGAGAATATCAAAGTAGAGTGTGGACAATTACCAGAAGGTTACCAAGTAAGCTACCGTTTTGTGTGGAAGCATAAAGTTTTTCTCATCAATATCCTATGAACTAGTGTAATTCTATTTTCATACTACTTAGATCATTTATAAAGCATCTTTCTACGAACCAATGTGCCTCTAATGTTATTTCATTCATAAATCCATTCCATTCATTTTCAAACATCGAAACCAGAAATTTCGATCAATTTTACCAGATATGTTGATGTACCCTAAATGTTCACAATCATACTCTGATAAAGGCGTCACAATCAATGATTTTAGAGAAGAAAATCTAAACAGCTCACAAACATTAAAGTCCGTGGTTAGACTTACATTTGTATACATCTGTTTGAACAGATTAACATAGATGAAAGGTGATATGCATATATAATTACTCATTCGTATGATTTCTCAGTAAAATATATCAAGTATAAAGCTACGAAGGGATATATTGTTCACAAATTTATGGAATCAAATTACTTTCAGAGAGTTTACAAGATTTGTCATTAGTATATGATTTCAACAGAACGGCTAACAACTGTTTCTGGATTGAACAAGCATCTTTAAGTTTATCTGTGATACAGTCAAAAGGATTAGAACTTGTTTTTTTTATTTTTAGGTAAAAAGGAACCTTGAAAACTCTTGAAAACTTACAGCGACTTTACTTTAAAATCTACTTTCTAGTCGTACAACATCACTCACGAAAGTAAAAAGTAGATTTCTTTTCATTGTGACATAATTTAACACTTATATTTGGATTCTTTGATCTTCGAAATTACTTTGTCAAAAATCTTAGGTCAACGTAAATAGACAATTTGTAAAAGATTTATGTAACGTCCAGCTTTTTATGTCAACAAATTGTAGATAGTCAAAATGGACCCCTATTAAGTTAAATAACATAGGATTATTGTTTAATTAAAGCTTAGTAGTTTAAAATTTAGTTAGAATAAGCTTTTTTCGAAAAGAACTTTGATTTCACTTATAGTGTTCTAGAAATATGTCATATATCAAGTGCCGGTCATTCAAAACAAAATATGATTTTTTCTTTAAAAGACCATGCTATTTTACGTACTGAGAGCATTTTTTATAACAAATCGAAACGTTACTATGAAACCAAAGCTTTATTTAGCTTATTTTATCAGGTTATTTCGTGACACAACTAATTAGTGAAGTATGAGTTAATTTAAACAGGTGAAAAAAGTAAAGTGCTTACTTCCATTTCATGGTAAGAAGGTAGTTTCATTCGTGTAAATATCGAATAGACTAGATAAATTATTATATTTCAAATGGTTCTTTTGTCTTGCTTAAGTGACATAAGTCATAGAATTTGTTAGTCAATAAAAATAATTAAAGATGTTAAGATTAATCTAGACTACGAAGATCTTGGTGTGAATACAAAATGTGGGATAGTAGATGCGCTTTTCTGAGGGTTCCCATACTAGGAAAAAACGGCCGTTCAGGTCTTCCAGGTTTCTATTCATGGTTTTGTTTAGTTCGACTCGTGAATTCAATTATTAAAATTAATGGATTTGTTAAGAAATATATTAAAAATAATAAAATATTTTCGTAAAATTGCATTATTATTTTATGAATTGCAAGTATTTTATGCTGACAAAATGGACATTCTTAATGGACCTAAGCCGTATTCAGTGTTAGAGGACTAGAGATGATTCTGTTATGTGATGCGATAAGCTTTCTATGCAATCGTGTAAACTTAATATCAGTACAGAACGATTTTGAGAGTTGATAGTTTGTTACACTAACAAAGATTCTATTTATGCAAAGCGTGAAAACTCTACAAAAACACGTTTAACAAATTTTTTTATCAGATTTAAATTAAATTAGAAACGTCTAACTTGTGAAAAGGAATATTTAGACAATAGATCGTAAGTTAGATACATTAGTTGATAATAATGGTTTTTACATATAATCCTAATTATTTACTAAGATTTCAATTAATAATATACGTTACAATGATTCGCAACACAAAAGTATATGAATCTATACTTTGTACTTCTAATGATCTAACCAGTTTATAAGTTAAAACTGTACGAGAACATAGTAATGCCTACAATCAACTAGTTCCTTTAAACTAATTTTATTAAGAAACTGACATTTAAATACTGTACATTTACGCGCTTTTCATCCTATTGGGAACTCGTCAGCTGGATGTACCTGCATCTCAGAGTTGATGACGAAACGCGAGTCCTGGATCCCACTGCTAGCCACTATCCATCATCGCTTACAAAAGGCTTGTGAATTATGGCAATATCAAGGCATACGCACAGTATGCACCTATGCCAATAACAGACTGGTCAATTGCAGTCTTAAACCTCAGTGGGAAGATACAAGGTGAACAATACCAAGTGAAATGTACGATTACTTCTGTTAATATCTATCCATGTTTAAATAATTAAAAAAACAAAGTCTAATTGTTACATTTCACATATCAAATGTGTTATGTCTTGCTGATTGGACGCTATATTCGTTCCTAAGCTATTCTGATAACCCACACGCTAGAACTAAACAGCGACCTGAACACCAGAAAGAAGACGCAAAGTATGAGAGAAACATTTTACTCCAAGTTTCTTTTTTGTACATAAAACATGGGTACTTATAGAGGTTGACGTTTGTTAAATCAACATCATATTTCGGCCAATCCGTTAGCGACATATCATGCTACTGACCAATAGTAGCACTCCACGTTGGAATTCTAGAATGCTCCATCATGCTCTGATTGGCTAAGACTCTTCTGCTCCTTTTGGGTCTTTGGAGGCTCCGTTGAAGTTCTCCGAAAGCCGACTACACAAAATGAAACTAAATTATAAGCAGAAAAGTCTTGTATTAAAAATATTTCAGAAAATAAATGTTTATCCGCGCAAAAAATAATTAAGAATGTTCATTTCTAGTTAATAACCGATATGATAAAATTCACTGTTATGCACATTCTTATATAACTGATGAGGTCGGTAACAAAACTTGATTGGAATCTCTTAGGATTTCAATCAAATGTTACTTCTTAATTAAATATACATGAGTAAATATATTCTGTTGTTTGATTGAAAACTTGAAAAAGAAAATATTATTGATTACGTATCTATTCATCTATTAGCTAATCTTCAATAAAGTATGGTTTAACGAAAATACAAATGAAACACTACAGAATGATGTTGATGATGATGTCAACTATTTGAAATTTATTCCATTCAATCATACAAATTTAAATCGTAATAAAATTTTACAATCTAGCAATGCATTTTATGAAAATATCTTGAAACTTCCATTGAAAATATTTTTTAATTCAAATGAAGCGTGTTCTTTTAATGGATATTTAAGATTTCGATTATATATAATTGGTCAGTCAATCAATAAAGATACTGAACAGACTACAGTTTATATGAACCTTAAAGGAGAGAAACTAAGTAAGTTATATGTTATATTGCTTATTTCAATCAAAATACATATAATTAGTAATAATTAATTGATTTTCTGTATAAGAATTGTACTTGTCTCATTACTCAGTCAATTTTTCATAAACATTATTAATATCTAATTACATTGGATTTATTAGTAAAAAGGTTTGTGAAGATTAATGTATACTGTTGATATCACCAACCAAATCTGTTGAAAACGAGGAATCACTGGACAGCTTTTTTTTATAGTATGGAACTCCCCAGTGTTATGCATCCACGACCCTACTGAGGATTGAACATGAGGCTTTAGGTCTCGTAGAAAAACGCTTAACCTCTAGACCGTTTAGGTTGAATCAAGTGGTAGATATGTATAAATTCATTCAAATCGTCATCTTTATAACCGCCTAATGATAACAACTTATTTCACGAACTATTTGATTTAGTACTCGATTGATTCAAAGTACTAAAAAAAAGTCTGATGTGTGAATATTGAGTCGCAAATTCAAGTCTTTGAACATCACGCATTAAATAAAGTAAACCAAGAGGACATTTCAAATAAATTTTCATTGCGGATATAATTTTTATTACGATAAGTACTCAGTTAACATTGTTGCATATTTGCTTGATGAACACCCCAATCTTAAGCATATCAGATACTCTAAAAATGGATCCTTCCGAGAGGTATTGCCGAAATAATTAAAATTTAGTATATTTTTTGCCTTAATCTGACTCCAAAACATTAAGATCACAATTAGGAAGCTGATTAGTAAGACAGTACACTTTATTCTAACATATTCAGTTGTTTTGAATATGTGGACTAGTTTGACAAGTTCAATAACAATTTATATGTTCATATATAATTTAATTATAATAATGGCTTACATCCAAATTCTGTATATTTGTTTTGCAACACTTCAGTAAATGTCACATGAATGTATCGGAGCACAGTATGTGTTGTTGATGGTTTTTATATTTAAATCTTAAAATTAGATCTTGATAGCTTCTATTTCACAGCATAATTGACATAACTTAAAAGATATAAATTAAAAACTGAATTCATGAGTCAAGTGAAGTTAGACTACTATGGAATACCTGGAAGCACTGGACGGCCGTTTTATCCTAATATGAGACTCCTCATAGTGGTCTAACTTCAATTGACTCATGAATTCAATTATTAAATTGCAACAATCTCCACAAAAACCCTCTCAGATATAACTTATTTAATATTCATTTCTGTCTATGTAGACAATTTCAGATAAACAGTTTGATTAATTAACTGGTTATGTTTGTAATTATAATTTATTAGAAATGAAAGTCAGGACAATTGAATTATCGTAATAGTAAATGAACTAGTAAAAAGTATACTTAATTGGTAAAGCTTTAAATCAACAATCAATTCAGTCAAAATAAACATATACACATTGTCGGTTATTAACTAATTGGAGTAAATTATTTAAGACATCAGTATAGGGGTTGTGGAGATTTTTGATTTCTTGATTGAGATCATGAACCGACTGATGTTAGACCACCGTTAGAAACCTGAGAGCACTTGACGGCCGTTTTGACCTATTGTGAGACTCCTCAGCTGTGCCCATCTACGATCCCGCTCGCGGGATCCGAACCCAGGGCCTTCAGTCTTGCGCACGAACGCTTAACCTACTGGGCCACTGAGCTGGCCGTCCAGTGCTTCCAGGTTTCCAACAGTGGTCTAACGTCAATCGGTTCATGATCTCAGTCAAAAAAATATTTAAGATATGTTCATTTAGCAAACTTATGCTTATTATAGTTTGTTTTTTCTAACGATTTTCAGTATAATATACCAATTTTTAAAAGTATTCGTTATTATTTATTTATTTCTTATCTTTTAGGACACCGTTTATTACTGCGTAAAATAATTCCATTGTCAAAACAGAAAAAAGCACGTGTGTTGATTACTTGGATACCAAACATTAATAATGATAAACCATTGTTTCCTCATACAGATATATTCACTTTAAAATGGACAAGAATTGATCCTATATCATATGAAAATTTGAGTTTACCATTCACACGATTAATCAGTTGGCCAGATGCGAATAATCATGTCTTGATGAAATCAATTGAAAAAGCATCAATGAAACAAAAATATTCAGAATATTTGATTACTGTTGATGAGCTGTTAATGGAAGCAACATATTTATTTCAACTAATCGAAACAAACTTCAGTCAACCGGTAAATATTACCGTAAACGATGAAAAAATGTGTTCAAGTAAAACAGAGTTATTGGTGAGTGAATTAAGAATTTTGATTTAATTCATGATCAGCTAAGCTTAATTTTATAACGTGTAAGACAAAAAGTATTCATAAAAATGGATGATGGTCGTGCAGTATTGGTAATTGACCATAGTTGAAACATTTAATCATAGGATACTATCATGTCCCCTGAAGGCATTGAATATGACTAATGATGGGATTGTGAGTTACCACTACTTATATACTAGGACAAAACGACTGTTCAGCGTTCTGGGGATTTAGAGGTTGTTGAAATAAAATAAGCTAACAAGGCAGATTAAAGATTGAAAAGATTTTACGGATCTTTAACGCTAAAATTGTTTAATGAGATCAATAATTTAACGGATGATGGATTCTTGTTATTGATTTTAAAGACTGTCGTCGACCAATCTCTATTGGAATATGTTCGTTTTGAGTGGATTGAATTCATACCGCCATAGAATTACAAGTTTTCTGGCGAAGTTGAATAATATCAAGAAGTCTGGCCCACGATGCGCGGTTTGCCCTATTTGCGACTAGTCCGATGACTGTACTTGAATATGTGTTAATGTTCATATTTAAAGTATTTCGAATAACGAATAATTCGTTCCCATTGCACAAGATAATTGTTATTTGGAGTAAGTAGCTCAAAGGGTAATGTTTTAGGCATTTGAGGCGAAGAGTGTTGGGTTCGTGTCCTGTTTTGAACAATAATACCAGATTCCAGCTACACCTAGCTGATAGATCTTAAGTGGATTAAAAACCACTTCCAGTAATGCTCGACGAGACACTATCCAAATTCATTACAAAGAGATTACATGTTATAGATTTCAGTCCTAGTTTACTTCCATTGTTGAAATTATTTTTTTAGTCGTTACAATTAAGTTATGATTGAGATCTTGAACCAATTGATGTTAGACCATCACAATTGAAAACCTGGAAGCACTGGACGGCCGTTTCGTCCTATTGTGGGACTCCTCAGCAGTGCGCATCCACGATCCCGCGAGCGGGATTCGAACCCAGGGCCTTCGGTCTCGCGCGCGAACGCTTAACCAACTGGACCACTGAGCCGGCATCCAATGGTGATAGTTTCTAACATCAACCAATCCACGAAATTGCGCGACCCATTTCCATTGTCTTTAAGTAGATAACTGTCTCTACCCGACAAGGATTAGCTCCACTGGTCACGGCTTCTCACTAGAACTCCGAGAATTCCCTCACGAAGCTAGTCACTAGTGAGCACATGTTGATTACTAGTATAGGGGTTGTGGAGATTATTAAGTTTTGATTGAGATCTTGAACCAATTGATGTTAGACCATCACAATTGAAAACCTGGAAGCACTGGACGGCCGTTTCGTCCTATTGTGGGACTCCTCAGCAGTGCGCATCCACGATCCCGCGAGCGGGATTCGAACCCAGGGCCTTCGGTCTCGCGCGCGAACGCTTAACCAACTGGACCACTGAGCCGGCATCCAATGGTGATAGTTTCTAACATCAACCAATCCACGAAATTGCGCGACCCATTTCCATTGTCTTTAAGTAGATAACTGTCTCTACCCGACAAGGATTAGCTCCACTGGTCACGGCTTCTCACTAGAACTCCGAGAATTCCCTCACGAAGCTAGTCACTAGTGAGCACATGTTGATTACTAGTATAGGGGTTGTGGAGATTATTAAGTTTTGATTGAGATCTTGAACCAATTGATGTTAGACCATCACAATTGAAAACCTGGAAGCACTGGACGGCCGTTTCGTCCTATTGTGGGACTCCTCAGCAGTGCGCATCCACGATCCCGCGAGCGGGATTCGAACCCAGGGCCTTCGGTCTCGCGCGCGAACGCTTAACCAACTGGACCACTGAGCCGGCATCCAATGGTGATAGTTTCTAACATCAACCAATCCACGAAATTGCGCGACCCATTTCCATTGTCTTTAAGTAGATAACTGTCTCTACCCGACAAGGATTAGCTCCACTGGTCACGGCTTCTCACTAGAACTCCGAGAATTCCCTCACGAAGCTAGTCACTAGTGAGGGAATTCTCGGAGTTCTAGTGAGAAGCCGTGACCAGTGGAGCTAATCCTTGTCGGGTAGAGACAGTTATCTACTTAAAGACAATGGAAATGGGTCGCGCAATTTCGTGGATTGGTTGATGTTAGAAACTATCACCATTGGATGCCGGCTCAGTGGTCCAGTTGGTTAAGCGTTCGCGCGCGAGACCGAAGGCCCTGGGTTCGAATCCCGCTCGCGGGATCGTGGATGCGCACTGCTGAGGAGTCCCACAATAGGACGAAACGGCCGTCCAGTGCTTCCAGGTTTTCAATTGTGATGGTCTAACATCAATTGGTTCAAGATCTCAATCAAAACTTAATAATCTCCACAACCCCTATACTAGTAATCAACATGTGCTCACTAGTGACTAGCTTCGTGAGGGAATTCTCGGAGTTCTAGTGAGAAGCCGTGACCAGTGGAGCTAATCCTTGTCGGGTAGAGACAGTTATCTACTTAAAGACAATGGAAATGGGTCGCGCAATTTCGTGGATTGGTTGATGTTAGAAACTATCACCATTGGATGCCGGCTCAGTGGTCCAGTTGGTTAAGCGTTCGCGCGCGAGACCGAAGGCCCTGGGTTCGAATCCCGCTCGCGGGATCGTGGATGCGCACTGCTGAGGAGTCCCACAATAGGACGAAACGGCCGTCCAGTGCTTCCAGGTTTTCAATTGTGATGGTCTAACATCAATTGGTTCAAGATCTCAATCAAAACTTAATAATCTCCACAACCCCTATACTAGTAATCAACATGTGCTCACTAGTGACTAGCTTCGTGAGGGAATTCTCGGAGTTCTAGTGAGAAGCCGTGACCAGTGGAGCTAATCCTTGTCGGGTAGAGACAGTTATCTACTTAAAGACAATGGAAATGGGTCGCGCAATTTCGTGGATTGGTTGATGTTAGAAACTATCACCATTGGATGCCGGCTCAGTGGTCCAGTTGGTTAAGCGTTCGCGCGCGAGACCGAAGGCCCTGGGTTCGAATCCCGCTCGCGGGATCGTGGATGCGCACTGCTGAGGAGTCCCACAATAGGACGAAACGGCCGTCCAGTGCTTCCAGGTTTTCAATTGTGATGGTCTAACATCAATTGGTTCAAGATCTCAATCAAAACTTAATAATCTCCACAACCCCTATACAATTAAGTTAAACACAACTGATTTATTGTACGTGCCTAAGTTACTTATAAAAGTAAAAAATTACAGTCAGAAGTTTATCATCATGTATAAGATTGAAGTCAGCTAAAAATGAATATAACTTACTCCTCAATGTATTAGTTCCCTTTTCTATACTTCTAATTTGTTAGCTTTTAATTCTAGTTAAAAAAGATCTCAATAACCAATTTCGATTAAAACGTTTTCGGAAGAACATATACCTAGAAGCTGAGTGTGTGTATGAGATAGAAATGATATCGAAACTTTCGTAGTTTATTTGTTTAGTTTCACTAAAAATTGCTAGATTAAATTACGTAGATTATTTATAAAATATGTATATCATTTATCAAAAGCGCATGTAATTAATTAGCTCTATGTATGTTTTTTATGAACATAGAGGAATTAGAATTTTAAAATGGGTACTGATAAGACTATTCGGATATAATACATGATTTCCCTAATGTTAACCACCGGAAACAGTTTGACTGAATGTATCTAGTTTTAACATGTTAGTCCGGTTTCTTTGAAATGTCTTACAATAGGATTATCTTATTAATAAATTAACTAATCATGTCAGTACACATCATAAACTAATGCCCTCGTCAATCTCGTAAAAACCGTAACCTTAATTATTTCACAGAATTAAATCAAGAGTAAATTGAAGCTAGAACATCATGGAAAACCTGGAAGCACTGGACGGCCGTTTCGTCCTATTATGGGACTCCTCAGAAGTGCGCATCCACGATCGCGCACCCCTCAAGACGCGAAACCAGGACCTATCAGTCTCGCGTCAAACGCCTAATCAACTAGACCACTGAGCCGGCATCCAATGGTGTTAATGTCTAATTTCAACCAATCCACGAATACTTTTGTGAGATATCAGCTCACTGAAGACAATGGTATACGGTGGCGCGATTATCAGGATTTGAATCGGTTGGCGTAGACTACCTTGTTGTACTGAGCGTTGGAAGGCATGAATTTTTAAAAGTTAAATGTTATGTTTAAAAAGAGCTTCTGTGTAGATGTAAAATTTAGAATAAACAAGATGAAATAAACCAAATTCATCTTACAATATTCATTCTTTTGGGTCTAAAAACATTTAGTTAAGCAATAATTATACGAGGAATGTTGAATGATAGCGTAAATATTTGTATTTGAATTCGCTTTGCTCAAACTTATGATCATTTTGTGATGATATAACAATAACTAAGTAATCCTTGAATTTCTACTCTAGGTTTATGTAACAACCGTTGAAAGTTTTCAAACAAGACCACGACAACGTCCAGTAACGCCCAAGATACAAATATCACAGAGTAGTATCACACAAGAACAGAATAAATATACTATTTGTCCTATCGCCACAGCTCACTTATCTTGGCCTAATTATTTACGTCAGTTACAATCAAATCAAACAACTGAATATAGTTCCGGATTTCTGTATACATCTCCAGTCACAAATTATACTTTACATTATGCAGAAGTAATGAATAATAATTTCAGTGAAGATATTTATAGTAAGAATCCAAATAATTATGGTTCTGTTAACTGGAAGACGTATCAACCAGCACCACAGATTGATGAAGTGAATGATTTCTTAGTAGATGGGTAAGTTGATATCTTTTTCTGTAGGATTTATTTATGAAATAAGATATCATTCTATTGCTTTGTTCACGTGGAAATATTCTATTGAAAATCTGTCTCAAAAACTTAGTTCAAATCTTAAGATTAAACTATTTTATGTAGGCGTAAATTCGTTCTATTCTATTTTGCTTCTGTTTCCCAACAATAAATTTTCTTTAATACCGTATGTTTGATGGCAGTAAAGAATTGTCAGAACAAAATCTGCAGTGGTACAACAACGTTCTGGTTTATTAAAATTTAACTGTTTAATATTTGAAAACAGATGCTCAAAACGGTTTTAAACAATAATTAGCAGCTCTTCATATTCAACTGTACATTTTCACAATCAGCCTAGCTCCCATAAGAACTTTATATATACTCTCATATAATTAATGAACATTTTGCAAATTAAGTATTATAGTATGGTTTTTCTATTTTACCAAGTAATTCTATAATGTTGTGCTAAATATAATTCGTTTGTCATCACCTGTGTTCGCCTTCACTAAAGTACCATATCATTGACTATATTATCTTTCTACTTATAGGACTTCTATGTTTTTTATCTGTTAACCCTACACTATGTTTGAAGAAATATTTTAGATTATTTCCTAAATGAATGTCCATTTCAGGTTTCTGTTACTATATGTTATCACATATTAGATGTCTGATTTCACATATATGACATCACAAAACCTTGAACACAATAACCAATTAGATTGAAATGAATGAATAACTTAGTAGTTAGACATTTTACCCTTTACGCATTTTGAGTGTTTAAAAGTATTCATTGCATAAATATGGGACTTTCTAACTACACTGTTAAACATGAAGCTAATAAGTATGATGTTCACCTAAGTTAAACTAAAAATTTTGATAGATATCTGTGATAGTCAATCGATTGACTAATACTCTTTATTTGTGCCTAATTAAGACTAACAGTCTTAATGTTGCGTTCAGTTTCTATGACAAAAATAACTATATATAAAATGAAATATGGAGGTCACTAGTACAGAACTATTTATTCTAGCAATAATTTATCACTAATACGTTAAAACAGTAGTTCATAAATTAAATTCTCATGGGTAAAACTGCGAACTCTGCCTGCAGTTTTTCTAGAGTTACTGCCAGTCTCACGTCCACAAAAGTGAGGAGGGTTGGGCATTGGGTCGGCAGCCTCATCCCGTAGAAAATAATCTTGCTAAGAAAAAAACAAACCAGCTTACACAAATCAAACCATTTAAACTCTGTACTACTAATTGAAGGATCTTCATGATGTTTCATGATGAAAGCCGAGATTCTTCGGAATTCACGAGGTTGATGCAACTTCTAGCAACCAGAGCAACAAATTTTACAGAAACATGGAACGTTTAGACAACGTGAGAGACCGGGAGGACCAATCAAATAGCGTCGGAAATGAAGACATACAATTCGATGCCAAAGTCGGGATGGCCAAGATATCATGAGACGACATGGACTGATTGGGAGAAAGTAACGAAAATGGTTCAATACAGAGTTCCTTCGAGATACTGACAAACCCAACGAATTGAAGATAAATTTCAACAACAGGTTCCAAGCGTTACAGGATCTACTGAAAGAAGAAGAAACTACTATGGATGATAATAATCAATACAAAAAAATGACGAATTAGATTGTTTGTTTTTGTCTTAAATATTTTAATTTTTGACGACAATAAATTTAATTTTCTGTATTTGCTTTTAGGCTCCTACCTTATAAAATGTACATTTTTCGTCTAGCTGCTCAAACTGATACTGGAATTAGTCCTTTCAGTCTACCAACTGATATTTTGGTAACAAGTCCACAAAGACCTTGCTATTATTCAATTAAATTAGAATTTGAACTGAAAGCTCATCTGCACTCTGAAATATCCCAAAGTTCTGGTCATACCGCAAGGAGACAGAGAGATATTGTAACAAGGGGTTATTGTGAATATTTATTGTTAAAGTGGAAAGTGAGTTTTATTGTTTTCTACATTCTGGCTCTTTATATTTATTCTTTTTTACAAAAATAAAGATACTCGTATGGAAAGATGAAATTGTAGTGTATTATTAACACCAGAACATGATTTGACTGAATTTACTATTGCTATAGTAAATGAAACTGAGAGATCAGATCGAAAATATCAAATGTGATGTAGTGTAATATCAAATATATTGCTTAAAGTAAGTAAACGTTTAGATATCAGTGAGGCTAAGAAGTCGACTAATTTCGTCATTGATTTGTTTGCCAACAGTCTGTCGAATATTGCTTTTGATTATTTTCTACTATTTATATTATTGTAAGCAAACATGGTTATCGAGATCTTTAATCTACCTCAGTCCAATATCCACTGATAATCAAGAACTAATAGAAAACTGTTTATCCTGATAGGGGATTCCACAGCGGTCCGCATCCACGAATCCATCTGGGAATAAAGTGGAAACTCCAGATATCGGGATGAGAGGCTTATGTTTGGACCACAAAGGTGGTATTCAGTGACTAATAGGTTTAAATGGAACAGTTTGTTTCATTGTTCGATAGCTGGAATATGACCTCAAACCAGAACTCTGCGATTTATTTCTCCGAATAAGTCATCAGTAAAAACATGGTAATTACAAGTAAAGAGATTAATTGGAGGTCGTTAAATGTCATCTAAGTTAAATAATCAATAAAAGCCAGGAAACATTGGACTGATACTTCTTCCTAATACCATATACTGTCGAAACTGCTGTGCAGTACTTGTTGGTTTTTATTGGTTGTTCAACTTTGATCAGTTCATGATTTCGATAACAGTCAACAATATCCACATACAACTTATACTGACAAACATGTTTAATAATTTATCGAGTTTATATAAACATTGTAAACGAGTTTTTATGAATGTACAGTAGTGCCAATCTCCCCATTATTCATCAATTCTGTGGTAAATAATGTTTAAACAAGTTCTGTAGATTTCGTTAGACATTAACTCTACAACAATAAATAATATGTATTTTAAAGATGTCAATATATAAAGGATTCAATTGTTATCTCATACTTACACTTATGTGATATCTAGATAATGATACAAGTACCAATTTTTGGAACAATATAATCTTCTTATAAGTAATTATTGCCAAATATGAACTGCTACATAGTACTTTGCAATGACAATATTGTTTGGATGTATAAATAGATTAATGCAGAAAGAATTTTTCTTCTTTTTTATGAATATGATTATGAATGGTGTGAAAGATTTCTTTTATTTCCATTACACGCTAATAACAATGGTACAAACCAATTTTCTTGCTTTCTGTTACAATTACTTTTGATCATAAACTTTGAAAGCAACATGCCAACATGTCAATGTACTTAGTGCAAAATGTATAATGTGTACATGGAGAATACCTTGTTATGCTTATATACAAAATCATAAGACGTACTATTATTTACAACAGAAAATTATATAAACTGAAGTAATCTGTGAAAAGGAGGGAAAAAGTATAACCTAATCCTATCAATGAACAAAATAACATTGTTGAAAATAAAATAAAATAATTGAATTAAGAGAGTGAAAATTATTGAAATTAATAATTAATAAAATTTAAGCCAGACCATCGTTGAAAGTCTGGAAGCTTCAGATGGCCGTTTCATCCTAGTATGAAACGTTCCTGCAGTGCTCATCCACAATCTCGCACAAGGGACTCCATCTCAGTACCTCCGGCCTCGCGCTCCAACGCTTAACTTCTAAGCCACTGATCCGGCGTCCAACGGTGTTAATGTTCGAATTCAGTCAATCAATGATCTTGTGCAACCCTTCGTGAATTCAACTATGAAAATACTAGTCTCTGCAAATCCCCAATCTGATAATAATAATAATCATGTTCTGATTAGTGACTACCTTCAATATGGATCTTCTGGAGTTTTAGTGATAAGCCGTGATCAGTGGAGTCCAATCCGTGTCGGATGGAGACTCTTATCCACTTCAGACAATGGATGAAGGGTTGCACAAAATCATGGGCCGATTGAAGTTAAACACTAACATCGTTGCATACCGACTCAGTGGTCTAGAACTGGAGCGTCCGCTCGCAAGACCAAAGGTCTTTGGTTCGAACCCAGCCTGTGGGATTGTTAATGGGCACTGTTAAGGGGCCCCACACTCCGACGAGACAGCTTTTCACTACTTCCAGGTTTTCAATGTTGATCTAGCTTAGATCGAGTCGTGAACTGAACTTTGAAAATACTTTAATCTCCACAAATCTTCATTCTGATTTAATTTTTTTGTTTGTTTAATTTTGTCAAAGTTTGTTTAAATTATTATTATTATTATATTTTTGAATGTTGTATAGGCATTAAATTATCGTCAATGGAATAGTCAACCTGGTTGGTATCATATCACATATAGATTATGGTTATCAAATGATAATAATACAAATACTCAATTATTCAATTTATTTATAAAACATGATGAAAATAAAATTAAAAATTCATATTTCCATATAGAATTGAAAGATTTAATACCAAATAAATATTATTTATTTTCTATTGAAGCTATAAATGATTATAGTACAACTAATATATTCTCTTCAATGATACAATTATCATCATTGATATTTATTAATAGTGGAATTGGATGTAATCAAATACAATTACAGTATAATCATCAAATGAAACAAATGACTGAATCATTAGTTATATATAAGATGAATAAGATCAATTATCCTGTATTATTAAGTAAACTTGTATTAAGTCCAATTAATTTTTTTGTTTCTCTGATCCTATTCAAGTTTTGATTAAATGTACATGGGATTATAAAGAATTTCAAGGTATTTTAGGATTTATTGTAAGTCAAGCTACGGTGTTTTGTTTTTAAAAAAAATTTTTTTTTTAACTATTGATTTGATGACTTATTCAGTATACAGGAGACCGGTGTACCATGTACCTATTTATATTTGATAATTTTGATGTTTGATTATATTTCCTTGAAAAAACTGGGACTAGATTGCCAGGTGAAACATTGGATTTACTTCAAATTCATTCGCTGAGATTTTCCAAATACATCCTTTCTCTTTGAACTATTTCATATGTTTAAAAATCCCCAAAGAATATTCAAAAATGTAGGATATTTGAGCGAACATTTGTTTTCAATAACTTCATCATCATCATCACGAATCCAATCTCGGTACCTGATGCCCACATACGATCGGTTCACAGCGGATTTTAGAGAGGACATTATAATTGAGTTGCTACAACAAATATGACTACTAAGAAGTTCCTGTAAGAGTTTCTGCGACCATATCATGGCTCCAAAGGCTGACTGTTATGAAGCCATATGGATGAGTCCCTGTACCATATGCATTACGGTTTTAGAACCTCTGAATCTCTTTCTAACCTTAACAAGATTTTGAACCACGTAAAAGAAATGTATCCAGTTTGGTTTTGCATAATATATTTTTACTCCACACTACCTTTTTCCTGGTTGACCGATATCTCTAAAGGTCGTTCAAGATTCGTGCAAAGGTCGTCCATCAATTATAATCTCCCCGATTAAGCCTGTTTATTTTTAGATAATAATGAGTCTTTGTCTCTAAGTGATAAGTTAACGTGTTCCCTAATTTGTAAAAGTCAATATTTTATACAAGGTCATCAAAATATGGATGTGTCATTTATTTAAACGAAAACTACCACACCACATGGTACTTGAACACAACTGAAAATTATAGTTAATAACAATTCACCGACCTCCAGCTTTTGAATCAGAAAGTTATAGTCTGCTATACAACTGCTTTTTGTCAATAATTTGACACGTTGAAGACCTTACCAAACCACTAGGGTTTAAACCCGTAAACATCAAGCCTACTGAATAGTAGAATATATTTTGATTTACTGCTAGGCTGTTCGCAGCTTAATTCAGTTTATTTTTTAAATGAATGAATCAGTGAAGAATGAAGTTCCCGAAATTACTTAAATAAACTAATACAATGTGTTTAGTTGTCACTACACATACATGCTTTAAACAAGGTTAAACGAAATGAGATTTATACGTAAAATATGTTTGATAGTGCATGTAGATATTCAAATGGCTGAACTACTAAGAACTAACCAATATCATATTTGGTTTTTACTCTCTTATCTATCCACTCGCTCATCTGAGTCACTCTTCACCCTATGTAATATGTTATAATTTGGGTGTTTGGAAAAACTGGTCATTAATTACGAGTCAGCAAAAAGTACTGATAATCTTTGAAGAAGCGTTAGTTTAGTAGGTTACGAAGTTATGGAAAAATAATAGTAGCTTACATGTAGTAAAACGTATATTCATACACTGATGATTTTTCTGTTTCATTATAATATATTTGCATTATAGTTAGAACTACATGAATACGGTGACATAAATTATAACATCTCCTATGATTCCATTAAAATTCATTCCATCTTCATTAAGCCACATGTACACGGTATTTTATTATATTCTGCATCAAGTATAACTCAATCAAATGTTATCCTATCAGGTCAAACAATTATTAAACCATATTTTTATTATAAAATGTCAATTCATGTTATAACAACGGGTGGACATGGACCAAAAGCATATTCCCCACAATCCAATTATAAAGGGACACAAAGTAATACAAATGTAAAATTACATCATTCAATAGAAAATGATTGTTTATCTGGTGAACTGTTATGTACATCACAGTCACCACCGAACCCTCCATTTTCATTAGCATCTCAATGGTTATCAAGAAATCTAATTAAACTTGAATGGTCACAACCTGAACAATTGAATGGAAAACTTGTAAATTACCGTGTCTCATGGAGTGAAATTACTTTTCCATCCAAATATAATCAATTTACTGACAAAAGTAAGTAATTGAATATAAATTCATTTTTACTAAACATAACACTTTCAGTTTCTTTTGACGTATTGTATCGATTATACAATTATTTGCGAAACATGAAATTTGAAGGGGCTGTGAACAATTTACCTCCCTTTGTTTTCATTAAAGATTCCCGAGACAAATATATTAATTACCGACGAACCTGCTGGAATGGATTCAACTGATGTACAATTTATACCGTTTTTTTCTCGTTTGTAACAGTACCTACTGATTCATCTGAGCTCGTTAAAAATCAATGTTTCACCGTTTTTGCAGATTTAGTGCGGTACCTATCAACATTACAATAATAATTTGTTCTTGAAAATTACTTTTAGTACCTACAATGTTTTTTTCACGTTTTTCTGGACTCAAGTTAGACAATCTTTAAAAACCAGTGGTCATGGAACAGCTGATTCATAGTGGTGTGAGGCTTCTCAGTAATGTATATCCAGTTCAGCCATCAGGAAAGAAACATAGGGCCTTTAGTCTAGCTCACAGATGTTTAACTTTTGGACCACTGAGCTAAGATCTAATAGTTTAGTAGTCAGACTTCAGTCAATGGCATTCTAACATAGATCCCTCTCCACAAACCCTGTAATGGCGGTGTTCTTATAATTTATATATGATTATGACACCTCATGATGAAAGCCGAGATTCTTCGGAATTTACGAGGCTGATGCCCCTTCTAACAACCAGAGGAAAACGTTTTACAGAGACACGGAACTTTCATACAATGTGGAAGACTAGAAGGATTAGTTAAATAGTTTCTGAGATGTAGAGATACAACTTGTCAGTGCTCGGAATCAGCGAAACGCATTGAACACAAGCTAAACAGCAAAGGCTAGATACGGAAGTGATGCTTTTGTACTCCAGCCACGAAGAGGAAACTGCTTCACACACTCAGGGAATTGCTCTAATGCTGTCCAAAGAAGCACGTAAATCACGTATACGATGAGAATCTTAAGGATCCAGGATCATCAAATCATCTTTCAAAAAAAGCAGAGAGGAAATCACAATGAATGTTATCTAATGTTATGTACCCACCAATGATAGCAATGACGACGATAAAGATCAGTTCACTCCATCTATGATCGATGAAATCAGGATGGCCATCAGACAAATCAAGAGTGGGAAGACAGCTACACCTGACAACATACCAGCTGAAGCTCACAAGTGATGACCGGTGTCAGACAAGGTTGCTCACTCCCATTCTTTCTATTTCTTGCGTTAGTTGACTGGACTATGAAGACCTCTAGATCTGAGGGAAAGCACGGAATACAATGGACAGTTTGGATGCAACTAGACGGTTTGGACTTCACGGATGACCCAGCTCTTCTATTCCTTACAGACCAACAAATGCAGATGAAGACAACTAGAGTAGCAGCAGCCTCTGCATTTGTAGGCCTCAACATGCACAAAGGAAAACCAAGATCCTGAGATACAACATGGAGAACACCTACGCGGTCACACTCGATGGAGAAGCTCGGGACCATATGGAATCTTCCACGTACCTGGTCAGCATCATCAATGAACTAAGAGGATCTGATGCAGATTTAAATTCGAGGTTTGTGAAAGCAAGGGCAGCATTCCTACTGTTGAAAAACATATGGAACTCAAAACAACTGTCGACCAACCTCAAAGTCAGGTTCTTCAATGCGAACGTCGAGATAGTCCTACAGTGTGGAAATGAAACTTCGCGAACTACCACAACCATCATCGTGAAGCTGAAAGTATTTATAAGCATTTGTCTACCCAAGATACTCAATGTCCGTTGAACAGAAAGCATCAGTAACAACCTATTGTGAGAGTGAACATACGAACTTCCAGTTGAATTGAAAATTAGGAAAAGACGTTGGGTTATAATAGACGTATATGAACCTAAATCATAAATCTTTATTATGAATCTTTGAGTTTGTGTTAGAGAGGTTTGGTAGTTATTTCCATGAATAGTTTACTTAACTCATTAGTTTAGGCAATTAGAGTGCTGATTATGATATTGTGTAAAAACAATTTTCACTTGAGAATGTGAGTTGATAAAACAAATGTATATCAATGCAAAAATACCTAAATGACAGGCCTTAAGAAAGTAACATTTGGGTTATTCAATATGATACATTAGATGGAAAACTGAAATTTTCAGTAAACTTTACATACTGTTATCCTGAAAACGCATCAGTACTTGAAATCATGAAAGGTTTATTCCCAATAAATTTTCTTCCACTTTACAGTAAGTAATTAGAAGTTAAATCTGATTTAGAGGTTACCTATATATTATAGTTTCATACTTTGTGTATATTTAAATCCACCATCATTCATTCAGTAGTGACTTACCATTTGTTTAGTTTTCGCCTGCAGTGTAAATGAAAAGAACACATACAAAAATAAGGAACAATTAACTCCCTCTTAAATGTGGTTTGTAGATTAGTTTTTGAGACTGATCAATTTCAATTCATATCCAATGATGATTACGTAATAATGTTTAATATTAGTTGCATTTTCGTAACTTAACAAAAAGGTCACTAATTAAAGAGTTAGTTTAACGAATCTATTATTTTACTTCATTTAAAGATTCAACGAATAGCAAAGAAATTGAGCAACAATTTACAGTGATACTAAAATCATTTGAAACAACATATACCATAGATCAGTTACATGAAAATACTTCATACATATTTAAAGTATATGCTCGAACACAATCAAAACAAAATGATGGTTGGAGTACACCAACTTGTATTTATGCGTCAACAAGTTATTGTTGGTTTAATTCACCTCAAATAACCGGAATTATATCTCAACATAAATGTGACTTTAAAACTTTACTCAAAACAGTAAGTACTAAGTTTATTTATGATACAGTTAATAGATTGAAGGTGTCTTTATGAAATCGTCACTATAATCATTAGATTTAAGACGGTTGTGAGTGATCTATCATGATTATAGATAAATAAAAGTATATTTTCATAAATAATTTCTTGATTATCTTACATCAATAATATGATTATTGATATTAGCCTTCAAACAGAGCACAGCAACCTTCTCAAGTCGTTCATAAAATATCTATTTAAATGAAAATTATAAAAATGTAATTTATTTAGTAAATAAATAACTAGTTCAACGTCAAGAATGTTCAGTGAAATGTACCCAATCAGATGATCATATGTTGGAACTTGAATTTTCATTAGAATACTTCAACCATGTACGATGCAAGATAATCAAAGATTAAGGCGATTGAAATATGATAGAGCAATATCGCAAACTGATGAAGTTTATGGATGTACACCAATGGTCGTCAAGTCATGGTCTGAAACTCATGAGCTTTCTTCGAGATCTGAATATATTGGCTTTGATTCGCGATGAATCGTATATATATATATAAGATGTTAAAGTAGTCTTTGATGTTTACGAAGCGATTAGTTGTTAAAAGCTGACTATTCAGATTTAAGAACAAAAGTGTAAATTACAGCTGTAATATTAACTATTTAAATAAGATGTATAAGTGTGCAGTATAAATGGCTTTTTGAACTTGAACATTCGGTCCATTTTATATTAATTCTTATTATAAAATGTTTGGTAAAAAGGAGATAAATTCCTGTAACATAGGACATTTTCAATAGTGCCGAACAGAGAACCTTGAAATACACCTTTACATCATCTTGGTTGCATTGTTAATAACCTAACTTTCTAGTCCTTCTGTAGTTTGTTTCCTCGAACGTTATTCATTACTCATGAGAGTTTGGAAGTTTACGTAATAAATATTCCATGTACAAGACTAACACATCCTAATATTATTGTCAGTAACCGTCTTAATTTTAAATTTCTACACTTGATCATGTAGCATAAAGACACTTTTGGATCTGGATGTTAGATAGGCTCATGATGATTATAACAGAAAGGTGAACATATATGGAAATCCCACTCTAACATACCACGGTACGTTGACAGCCCGCGAGTTTTCCTCCTTAAGATAGTGTTATGTATGCGTTAAACATTAGATGGATCAGTGTAAAATGTAATGAGGAATATTTTAGTAGAACAAAACGAGAGACTATTTGATTATGGTTTTAAAAAAATAACTTTATGTATGTACAGAGTCATTGAACTACCTAATTTTGCAAGGAGTGAATCGAAAACATTTTTTATCCTTGAAAAGAATATTCTGCATGAAACATACTTCATAATAAGTCATAATTATTCGTGTTAGTATTTACTACTAATTTACAGTTTTACATTTCATTTTAGATTGACCCAAGCTTGGAAAAGTTTTGTTCATTCAGTTCACCAATATTACGTCGTCCAGTAGTGTTTATCAGTAGTATAAATAAGAATGCGACGAATCAAAAATTTAAAAATTTGACTAGGAATTCATTACAGTTTCATTACAATGAAACAAATATAAATTATGCATCAACTGTCATTACAATTCTATGGAGTGAAGTCATGTCTGGGATCAATTCGATTACACATATATTAATTGAATTACGTTATTCATGTAGGTTATTTAGTACCATGAGAATATGTTTTCTCATGTATGAAAAATAGCACTTCAGTGTACATTTTATTCATGACAATATTCATAATATAAATGCTCACAGACAAACATTTGATAAATCTTCACAGCGTGAGTACGTAGTTTGATTAACAGACGTTATTAGTAACTCAACATAAATTAGATATGAAAAATTGTTTCCAGTATCATGTACTTAGTCATGACTAGCTTCGAGAGGTGATTCTCGGAGTTCTAATGGGAAGCCACGACCAGTGGAGTTAATCTGTGTTGGATGTGAGGCAGTTACCCACCAAAAACAATGGAAGATGGTTGTGTAATATTGTAGATTGGTTAGACATTAACACAGTTGTATCTCGACTCAATAGCCTAGAGGTTAAGCGTTCAAGTTGACAACTGAAGGTCCTGAGTTTGAACCCCGTCCAGGAGATCGTGAATGCTCACTGCTAATAAGCCCCATACGAAGACGAAATGGTCGTCCAGTGCTTCTAGGTTCTCAATGGTGGTTTAAGAACGATCCATTCATCTTCTCAATCAATCTTTCCAATAACTGAACATCTGGAAAATAGGTATTTCAGTAATGTTAGTAAAGCAGGTGATTAATAATTGATTTTCACAGTTGAATTCACGAAACTGTCTAAGCTAAACCACTGAAAACTTAGATGCACTGAACGGTCGTTTCTTTTTAATATGGTAATTCTCAGCAGTGCTAATCCACGATCCCGCACACATATAGCCATGACCATTCAGGATGTTTAACCATTATTTATTTGTCCCATCAAGTTACTAGACTAAGAATGAATTAAAAGGTAAATATAATACTGAAGATTTATAGGAACTGTTTAATGTAAGTAGTAAGGTGAGTGAAAAATTGTAGCAATAAAAAATGTTCATATTTAATGTCTGGTCAATCTATAAGTTACGTTTTTTCTGACTATTTGTTATAAGTATGCACCAGTTTGAGTGTTATCGGACGTGAGTGAACTAAAGATTTAGACAAATATCAAGCGACTGAATGTTTTATCTATCACAGCATCGTGACCCTGTGATTTGAACCAACAAAATCTGAAGATGGCATTTTCATTGGAAGCAGCAATATTCAACGTTAGTTCTTTTACCGTTTTTGTCTTCGTTTATGATTCATTGGTTTAAAATTCATGTGATGAAGTGTAGATATTTTATAATCAAAGTTATTCACATGTAAGACACTTTAAATAGTACATTCAGTTATGTTCAAGTTATGTAAATCTATTTAATACGAGAGATCCTATAGCTACTTCTTCTTCTTCTTCTTCTTCAGTAGAGTTTGTTTATTATGCAAGTACGGTTGACATAAGATGACGTTTTAAAAGTGTTTAAAAATAGATTCGTCTTTGATAATAGTCGACTTAAATATTTTTGATGATCATTTTCTAGTTTACCAGATAGTAAATTACTTTTAACTGGTGTTATAATAATAATGTTTTATCCTACAGGGAACTTAAACAAATGGTATTCTTTTACTATGATAAACAGTTCAATGAGATTGTACACTTTTGATTTTGAAGATTTAACAAAACTTTCAGTCAATTTAAATAAGGATTTAAAGCATTCATTTGATGCAGTGAAAAGAAAAGTGAAATCACAAACAACAATGAATGAAATCAATCATGAAGCGACAATACGAATGATTACAGCTGCATTTAATGACGCTAATGTACCGATAGATTCTACAACACATGTAGCTATTCAATTTCGTGTATCTCCAGTTAATCAATTTCAAATAGGTCTACCTAGTCAAGAGTCAGATTGGAGTGTTATAAAGTGTAAGCAAAGTATATTTGATTGTTATATTGTTCTGGTAAATTAAAGAGAATATATATTTCAACAGTATATTCATCAGCAGAAAATGGATATAGCTGCCAGTGTATGGACGATAGAAAACTTCTGTTTGTTTAAATCATTAAAAATACTTCTCCTGGAACAACTGGTAAAGATAATTGGTTTTAAGAAACTAATCATCTCGAAAAATTGACCATTAGTTGCAAGGAACAACTTATTGGGTCAGCCATGCACAACCGTTTTGTGAATATTTAATTTTATTGCTTTAGCATGTTGCTTTTTAATTCATACCACCAGGATTGGGAACTCGTCGGCCTCAGAATACTATTGAAAGTAATTAAATAAGACTGAAATCTTTGTGATTAAAACTGATGACAAATTAAAATCAACATATTTCATGCTGACTGGTTTATATATGACTGTGTGCGATATAGAGTAAAAGGATCTCATGGTATAAATATTTAAAATTCATTGGCCAGTCATAAAATATGATGAATAAAACTGAAGATGGGGAAGTTGGATACGAAACTAACATTTAGCGCAGTTCTGAAGTAGTTATCATAAGTCATATGTTCAAAGAAAGATATAAGGTGAATTTTGTTCATGATCTGGATGGTTTTATACCTTAAATCATTTTAAGAGAAAACGTCTCAGACTGACTGTCAAAAAGTAACTAAATAGGCTTTAAAGTATCCGTTATAGATATTAATATATTTAAAACCCTGTCACTAACAAACATAATCAAATAAAACCTGGATGAATAAGTAGGTGGTTCTCCAATTTCTCAGTAAATCCTGAGCTAGGACGTGATACAGATTCTCATTCAGTCTGATGTTATAGCTTACAAAATTCTACCTAAATAATGCTTGGTGTTTAAAATAACAGTTTTCTTAACTTGTCTGAAGATTCCGATGAGTTTGGTTATCTTTTCTTTGAGTTTAAAATATGTCATCATTTGAAGTTATATCTGTAACAACTAAACATTAAATACAGTTATAATTTGGCTATTAAGACATTTCCTACTTTAATTATTTGAGATATTTGAACACACAGTTCCATTCTAGACCTCAAGTCAAATAAACAACAGTGCATTTTAAGGAAAACTCCGCTTGTAGCTCTTCTGGAGTTATCACCCGGATATTGAAGCAGCATACACAGATATATATTACAGATGTCACTCCACCAACGAACGAAGAATTCAGGATAGTCATCAAAAAATGAAGAATGGGAAGGTAGCACGACCTGACAACATACCAGCTGAAGCACTGACATCAGATATGAAAGTGACTGCAAACATGCTCGACATTCCATTCAGGAATATTTGGGAGGGAGAACAGGGGTCAGTGACAAACTCGAAAGAAGAACATCTCATCACGATACCAAGGTAAAATGATCTGAACAAAAGTGAGAACTACAGATGAACCAGACTAATATCGGTACCAGAAGAGGTTTTCAACTGATTGTTGCTGGACTAAATCATAGATTCAGTAGACGCTCAACTTCGATACTAATAGACCGGATTCCGTAAGAATCCGTCATGCACAGACGAAATCGCAACACTACGGATCGTTGTTGAGAATCCAACTGAATGGAACTTGTCACTATACATCAACGTCCTTGACTGCGAGAAAGCATTCGACACTGTGGATAGGACAACATTTTGGAACCTTCGACACTATGGTGTGTGAAAGCAAGGGCAGCATTCCTACTGTTGAAAAACATATGGAACTCAAAACAACTGTCGACCAACCTCAAAGTCAGGTTCTTCAATGCGAACGTCGAGATAGTCCTACAGTGTGGAAATGAAACTTCGCGAACTACCACAACCATCATCGTGAAGCTGAAAGTATTTATAAGCAGTTGTCTACTCAAGATACTCAATGTCCGTTGAACAGAAAGCATCAGTAACAACCTATTGTGAGAGTGAACATACGAACTTCCAGTTGAATTGGAAATTAGTGAAAGATGTTGGAAGTGGATAGGACACACGTTACTGAAATCATCAAACTGCATCACGAAGCAAGCGCTAACTTGAAATTGTGAAGTGAAACGGGAAAAGGTAGGTCAAATAACACACTGCGCCGGGAGTCGGAAGCAGACATTAAAAAATGAATGGCAACTGGAAAGAACTGCAAGTGATTTTTCAAGACAGAGTTGAATGGAGAATGGTTGTTGTTGGCCCATGCTCTTTCATGTTAGGTAACATGTGTATGTAAGTCAGCACATTTTTAGGAAGGAGCCATTTCATCTTCATAAGTGTAGTGGTACATAAAATTATTCTGGAACGTTTTTGTTTTATTGATAAGCGTCTAATTATTGACTTATAACCTCCCACACGTTTTAATTCCCTGGTTTCGTTTTGAACTGTAGATAACTGGACGGTTTGGTTAATAAAAATAGATGCTTTTTTACCTGTATATCAGTATCGGATTACTCACTGACCTTTCCTATTGATCACGATAAGTCCTCACATAAAGTGCTGTGATATTCTTACTGTTATTATAGTTCTATCTTACTGATTTTCCTTTTTAAAAACATTTTAATATTTACTTATTTATTTTATATAGTAAAAACAATCGTAACACCATTTTATCATCATTGGTGGTTTATAATCCTGTTAGGATTATGCGCTGTAACAATCATCTTCATTTTACTGATTACTTTGAAGTGGAATATACGCAGAAGGCAACAATTAAATAAATCAACATTTGTTACTGAAAAATATGATTCCAAAGTATCTTCATCTAATGCTTTTATGAATGATTGTTGTTTAACCTTTAAAATATATCATTCAAACTATTTGACAAAAACAATGAACAATAATATCCAATCGAATGGTGAGATATTTGAATATCCAAATATGATTAATTCAACCTTTCATAACATTAGATCACCTGAAACAGTTGAATTAACAACAGGAATACACTATACTGAAAATTCTAATAATGCATTACATAATAATCAAAATCCTTTTAATCTTGTCCTAAATAATCACAATTGGGATGTTCTATACAATACTAGTCCAGAAATTCTTATTGCTCAAACAGACAGTTCACTTGGTAGTAAAGCTCCAAGTAATAGAACAGTTAGTACAAGTGAAGTAGAAAGATTTGATGATTTTACTCAAAATTACAATAATTGTGTAACAAGTCAAGGATTAATAAACAACTCAAATCAGTCATTATGTAAGTTTACCTGATTAATTTACTTATATATTATTTTACAATAGTAGTTCACAATATATTTCACTCCAGATTTATTTGACTCATATGGTGATCAAACCCCAACCAATCTAAAAATAATGATTTAGTCTAATGTTATTATACGGTGCTATTCGACTGTCAAAAATTGTGGGATAAAATCATTACAAATTATATTCCGATTGTATTTTAATACACTAGGTAAGCAATAGAGTTCACTATCATGAATCGTATTCATTTTCTCCATTGACAATTACTTCGATGGTCACCGTTTATTAATTCTTGGTAAGCTTTTTCTATTAGAAAATTAAATGAGTTACAAAAGTTATCCAAAATAAAAAAAGGATCGAATTGGTCGTAAATTTGAATAGATCATTTATAATTATTTACTATTATGTTTATTATCACTATATATTCCTAATCATCTGGATAATAAATCTGTTTGAAGCGTAATTAAACAAAGAAATCCCATTCAAAATGTCTTGTATACAAGTTGTAATAAATGTTTGAATAGAGGATAAAAATATCGGTTGTTAGTATACGCTTTTGAAGAAATTGACTACACTATAACAAGGTTTGTTATGTAGTAGTTGGAAAAGCTCATATTTGACGATACTGTAAGCAGAGATAGATGGTGATTAGTAGTGGAATCCAGGGCGCGTGTTTCATATCATTTGAGACTCGTCAACTACATTTTCTCTGCTTCTGATCCATGTGACTTAAGGCAATACGAACAAGATGCACATATGCCAATAAATGACTGACCAATTGCAGTCTTGAACATCAATAGGAAGTTTCAAACAACGTATATAAATAAATGTAACGGTAATTTTAAAATTGTTTTAATGATTTCATTAAAATAAATAATTGTTATACATCAGAATAGATTATCTATTATATATCTAAAATACAACTTTTAAAATATCTAATTGGCCTGAGGTGAATATTGGAATACTGTTAGATGTAGTGCCTAAATTGTCTATTAAATGAAATAACTATGGGCTTTTAATTTTGTCTGTAACACCCATAAAGTCATTTATTTCACAAGTGAACAATAACTGTAAATATTTTATTTATAAATACACAAGCTTAATCAATTGACAAACAAACTAAACGAGATGAACAGACAATGACGAAATAGAGTACGTAAAACATACAAAAACCATGATCGATAGTAATTGTCAAGAAGAGTTAGCATTAAACATTTCACTGAATAGTGTCAAATTAATAAGACGATTTATACTACTGATAACCATAAATTTGGAAGGAAAAATTGTTTAAAATAAATAGAAGTTGACAGGTTGGACAGAGAATGTCAAATAAAGTTTAAAGGTCAAACAGATCAAATGATAAATATGTTTTAAATATATATTTTTTTTAATGGAGGTGACGAATAATGGCAGTGACGAGTAAAATTCTTTATTGCATAGATTAGTATGTGAAACAACCATGGTATGAAAGATTTAGACAATGGGGAATGAAGTACGTTCACTGTATCCCACAGTTCATTGTTTTTAGTCCTTTACAAAAATTGGTTTAGGGAACTAATTGCAAACAGTTTACTTTCTGGTTTGATGTGTTTGCCTAATTTTAGATCCTGAAATGAACATTACAATTAACTCACCCTACAATTTTTCATTACCATACTCATTTCGAAATAATCAATTGATTACTGACTTAAGTCAACCAATAAACAATGAAATATTAATAAACCAGAATTTACCGAGTCCATGCAATTCAAACAAACTATGCATTGACCAATTATCAGCACCTTATCTTTACTCATCTTCACAAAATGAGTCTACAATACTAAATCAGAACAATTTATGCCAATTAGATATCAATAGAAGATTCAAATTCGATGAGTCAATAATACCACTGAACCAAACTATTAATTCCTTACCATCTGTTCAATATCAACGGAATACAAATTACCAGAATGAACAAACGCATCCTGATCAAAAATCTTATGATGTAGAATTTCAATGACTCAAAATCGTTCTGTCTATCAAAAATTTATAAATTCCATCAATAATACACCATCAAGTAATGGTAACGCTTCTTTCAACTTGACGGCTACCATCCCAAATAATCACAGTAGTAATCATCATTTTTATCAAATGAATACAAATGGAGATAATCATATAATGTCGAAATCACATATAGAGACGTATGAACCAGAAAATACAAATTATATGAAGTATAATAGTTTACAGAGAAAATCTTTAGATAGAAATTCAATGACTACTGATTATAATAGGTTTAATACAGTTAAAACAAGTATGGAATTGAATTCATTGCCAATGGAGGTAAATAATAAAATTTGATTTCAAAATTTATTTGATAATCATTTATTTGTATGGGGATTTGCAGAGATTGTAGTATTTCGCACTTGAAACCACCAGCCGATCTAGGCTAGACCATTGCCGAGAACCTGGAAGCACTGGACAGCCGTTTCGCCCTAGTATGGGGTTTCTCAGAAGTACGCACTTGTGCTCCTGCATGCGGAACTCAAACCACGACCTTCAGTCTTGCGCGCGAACACATAACCGTGCGGACTAAGTAGTCCGCATCCAACGATATTAATGTCCGATTCCAGTTAATTTTCCATTTATAAAGCATTTTTATTAACATGCTAGAAAACTGTTTTAATAAATTTATCAAAAGTAAATGTGTATGTAATTCTAAAGTTACAAAATAAAGCTGTTATGGTCTCTGAACTGAACGGTTTAATTGTGAAGCTTTTATGATTTTTCTAAACAAAATTAACAGTACGTAGTTCATAAATCGGTGTTCAGTTGACTAACAGTTGTTATTCGTTGTTGTTATTCATTCCTGAGTAGTGTTCATCTGAATGTTTGTTTCTTTTGTTCCCTCTTGATCTGAATTCTGACCTCTTAGTTACTACATTCTTTTATATTTCCATATAGATTTGACTGATTTCGGAGTGTTTATTAATCGGTGCTTGTTTGGAGTACTAGCTTTTTGAAAATTCTTTGACTTTTTTATGTTTTCTCTTTATAATATTCAGCTGAATCCTGAGCTGCACACATCCTCCACCATCTCGTAATAATGTATTAGTTTTACACCAGGTTAAAATAGTACCTCTAACGTTTTTCCGATTTCTTTCACCTTACTAACTTTCCCTGTTAGGCCTGAATTATGAATGCACAGTAAAATGAAAAGTATTGAAAAATTAGCCACACTGTAGCAATAAAAAAACATTTTAAGCACCTCATATGTCATTCTATGTTTTTAAAATTGTATTAGTCGATTAAATTCACTGACACTTATGTATTCAATCATTCATTTTAAAATTATTTGTTTTTCTATTTGAAAAGTTCTAAAGCAAGAGATTTTATCTTTAGACAAGTAACTTATGAGTACGGAAGATTTGTGAGGATTGTAGCATTGAAATCACAAACTGGTCCTAGTTAAACCGGCAATGAAAACTTAGAAGTATTGGACTATCGTTTTGTCCTAGTATGAGACGCCTTAGATGTTCGCATCCATGACCACATATGCGGCAATCGAACTCAAGACCTTAGTCTCAGCGAATATAATACAAATTCCCTACACTTATAACAACCATGTGGTCGCCAGTGACTGATTTCAAGATATAACTCTTGGTGTTTTAGTGAGAATCTTTTATCAATGGAGTTCAAACCGTGACACAGTTATCCATAATAGGCGATGTGTTTAAAGTTGCACAAGATCTTGGATTGATTGAAGTTAGGCAATAGCACCATTAGATGCTGGTTCATTAGTTTAGAAGTTAAATGTTCTCACTCGAGACCACGGCTCCTCGGTTCTGATGTACAGTCGTAGGTGCGCATAGCTAAGGAGTTCCGTATTAGAACGAAAGAGACATCCCATGCTTCCAGGTTTTCAATGTTGGTCTAGAAAGAATCAGTTTGTGATTTTAATTATGAAAATTGTTTTATGATTACGATTATGTACAGTAATAATATAATTATTCGTCATTGATTGTAAAAGTGCTATTATTTTTTTCGTGTTTCTTATTTGTTTAGTATTCACCTTTTAATAATAAAGATAATCAATCATCAGTGCGTCACGATGGACAGCGTCTTATACAAGATTTCGATTTCAATTTATTACCTGATCATTTGACTCTGAATGGTCAGCTAAATCAAACATCGATAAATAACACCACGGTCAATCAAATATCAAATATTTATTCAACAGGATCTCATAATGATGACATTAGCAATGATAATTCTCAGTTTAGAAATACAAAACATTCATTAAAACAAGAGAATATTCATCAATCCCCATCACCTTACAAAATACCGATTTATTGTTTAATAACTACAATTCTACAATGACCATCGTCAAGAACAACGACCAAGACACATTATCGAGTTGGGATGAAAATCTTGAATTTCATATTACAACAGACTTGGAATTGTTAACGTCTACAGAAGTCTAATAATGGTTTTACAGTGTTCTGAAGTGTTTTAGTTTCCATGAATCAGGTTTTAACTGATCTTTCATCAATTCACTATGTTGCCTACTTTCTTTGCGAATGAATTCTATCAGTAGAGAGATAGTTGAAGTAATACTAAGATATGTGGCTCTATACACTTATATATTGTCTAATAGCAGATATTATGCATTTTGTTTATACTGTAACTACATTGTATTAAAAGTACAAATTGTTTCTGATAGCTCCTATTTTGTTCATTGGAAATGTACAGTTATACAGACATAATTATATCTGAATCTAAGTTATTTTCCTTAAGTTATTAAGTGTTCTTTAAGCCTGTCCTCTTTCTTTTTTCTCTTAGAAACTATGATACATTAGAACGTTATGAAAAAACAATGGAATTTTTAAAATCTATTTTTCTCCTCCCATTAAAGAATTCCCATAAATTATTTGATATTTGTAAATATAATAACTGCATTTCCCACTCTGTTCCCCTTTTTTTTATTGATGCAAACATGTTTATTAACCTTTCAGAAAAAAACCGTTATTTTGTTTCGGATTTCAGTAATTCGTCTTATCATTTTTTGCCTCTTAATGGTAAATACTGTGTTTGCTTGATAAGTTTTATCACATGATATATATAAATACTTTGATTATAAGATAACTTTAAACATAATTTGTTTTTACCACTTAAGCTTCTTCAACTAAGATCTACTATAGCTTCTGGAGGTAAATACTGCAGTTTACTCTAGTGAGTCATATGAAGAGGATTAGGTTTATCAAGATTTTAAACTAATTTTGTTGTCGATTCACATCATATTTTATAGGAACTACTGACTACATCTAGTTTGTGTTATAATTTGTGGCCTTGTACCCTATTAATATATGAAGTTATGATACCGCCAATTATAGAACAGTAATTTGTCAACCGGACTAATGACGCACAAAACCTGTACGAGCAGTCTAGGATACTTATCGATCCAGCTTCTGTCTGACCTAGCCTGTTAAGTTCAGAACACCAATCTCAGCCTTTGAAATATGAATCATGTATTTCAAACATACTGGGTTTATATACATACCAAACAGACCACATCGCATCACAAAGTAGAAAATAACATTTGTACAAGATCCAGTCAAAAGTGGTTGTGAATGTGGAAGACTGTAATTAATAGACTGGGCATAACTCAAGAATGGGAAATCGTATAATAATAGTTTATAGGTCAAAATAAAGCTTATAATAAGAGGAAAACGAATATGATACATTTAGTTAATAAACAATTATACGATAAAAATATACGCACAGTATTAGTCCAGAAATAGATTCCAGCAGTTACCAATCATTATTCTCATCAGGATATAACAGTTTATTAACCTCAAATTGAATTTTAAAGAATATAGTTATCTGTAGAAAAAAAAATAATACCGGCAGACTTAAATCGAACCACCGAAGTTAATTGAAAATCAGCATTTAAAAATCATTCTTATTCATATATGAAAAATGTAATCTGATACAGCAAGTTAAGTAGAGGAGATCATTAAATAATAGTGCTAATATTAGAGATAGTTTAATGAACAATCAAGCGAATTGATGTAAAACAATTAGATAAATAAAAAGTAAGGATAATGTGAAATACTTAAGTTTCATGATAGATTAGTTGTTATTGCTAAAGCATAATGTTTTTATTATTAATGGCTTTATTCAATATTATATTTTGGTACAATATAGAATTCTCAGCACGAGGTATTTCCGCAAGTTTCTTTTACAAAAACAAAAAAGGAAAAGATGAAAAAATATCAGAATCTGTACAACTTTTCAAACTAGAGACATGTTTAAGAATTCAGGTTATTGACTAGATAAACTCTAACACTCCATTCGTCACAAAGTATATTTGCTAGGTAAGATATTACGGAACTTTTATACCGTTGCTTGAGCGCATGGATTTTAATGTATTGACGTCTCGTTCTACCAAAAGATACACAAAAAGAAAGATATGAATGAAGGGAATAATTAGGATCTGAGAAAATAACACTTATCAGAAGTTTGCAGGACTTCGGATGTTTACCGACAACCATTTTATTAATGACCTCAAACGATTCACCACACACCTTGCCAACTGCCTTCAACACTCTCGTCAATACAGTAAAAAGTAATAGGTAATATGCATATATACAGTGAGATCATCCGCATATTTCACAAAAGTATTTTCTGTGGAGGATGGAAGATCATACAGAAAAAAAGAGAAGAGGTGAAAGAAAAGCTCCTCATGGCATACCTTCATGAGACAGTAGGGCGTTGAACACTTTCCGCCAAACGCAGAGTACTGTTCCCTTCCAGAGAGGTAGGAACATAGTCAATTGGTTATCTAGCTGTCAGTGTTGCCGCTGATTACCTTGTTGGGTAAAATTTGTCTTGAGATAAAATCAAAGACAGAAGCCGAACACTATATTGTGATGCAGAACAGCAATGTCAACTAAGGTGCTTCTTTTGCATGTGTAAGTAAACTGATACGGATCAATGTACTCTTATATCGCAGGTTGAAGTGGAAGTATCAATAATTTTTCCATTGTTTTAAGGAAAGGTGAAGTTACTGCTATGGGTCTAAATTTCACATTTTTATCACCAGATACTTTCTTAGGTATAAGGATCATCTTTATCTATCTCCATATTTTCGGTATGAGATTACTTGAGAAGGATCTGTTAAAGATACTCGTGAATGGATAACATAGAGCGTCAGCATGTTTTTTTATAAAAGAGGTTTGGGATACTATCAGGTCCTAAACATTGGGATGAATTCAGTAACTGGAGACATCGTAGGACATCAATTTCAGTGAAACTAGGAACACAACTATTATTTAAACTTGTGGATATAGGGAGCATTACATCAGATGACTGACGTACAAAAGACTTATTTAAGTCACAAACATAGTTGAACTATTCAAATTATTTTAGGATGGTTATTCATAATTGAAAATGTTTGATTGTAATGACCTCTATATAACTAAATAAATACCTTGTTACGAAGTTGTTAAGTCAATGAGACTGCTTCACCTGGATAGTAAACGTTTGACCACCATATTGAATCTAGTATTATTTCCTTCTGAAACCTTGTTCCTTCTTGAATAAATTGATGTTAAGTTTCAAATGTTTATTACCACATATTTTGTAATGAGTTTTGATAAGACTCAGAGATAACGTAATCATTTTGATGTTTGTGATAATTCGTATATTCTTTATTAAGTGGAAGGGTATTAATATCCCTGTAGGCATAAAGAAAATATAAAAAACATCTAAAAAATAAATATTTGCAAACCATCTTAGTCTTCTGGGCACAAGTCATACCAGAAGAGCGTTTTGTGGCTGTTATAGTAATTTTAATAGTTGAATTCATGAGTCAGTTGAAGCTAGACTATCATGGGAAACTTAGAAGCACTTTATGGCCGTTTCGTCCCAATATGGGACACTCCAAATAATACCTCATCTATTCAAGAAACGTCAGCGTTTTTTGGTTACAATGAATTTACTGAACAGTGAACAATATAAAGTTAATTACTAATAATCAAATGCGCTCATTCAATTACACTAAAAATTAATTGATTGAAATCATCAGTTAATTAAAGCGAGACCACCATGTAGAACCTGGAAGCACTAGACGGCCGTTTTGTCCTAGTATGGGACTCCTTGGCAGTGCGCATCCACGATCCGCACCTCGCGAGATTCGAACCCACGACCTATCAGTCTCGCGCCAAGCGCTTAACCAAATAGACCAGGTTTTCCATTGTAGTCTAGCTTTATTTGACTCATAATTTCAATCTATGAAATTTCTAAAATCTCCACAAACCCCTCCTGATAAAAATTATTTATCATAATATATAATTATCAACGTATGTTTAATATATTATGTTTGTAAAGGAAATGCTAACTTAAGCCCGAAAAAAAGTCATCTTATATAATAAGCATAATGCTACATATATATGCATGGTTGACTGTATTATATTAGGTGAATAGAATATGTTATTTTATTAAATTGCTTCACCATACATTTGCTCTCCTTATTTATTTATTTCCTCTAAATCAATAACAAAATAAGAGAAAAGAAAGAGTTCATCACCAAGTTATAAAAGGGTTAACTAAGAATTATTTATAATAAAATGTATAAGGAACTAATAAAACAATATGAATTAGTTATTATGTAATGATTGACAGGTATAAAAAGCAAACTGAATATTTTCACTTAAACAATTTCTTCTTTAAGTAAATGAAATCCTGAATTATTATTATTATTATCTTTATAATTATTGATAATACATATTTTATCGACATTTCAGTGTAGGCTTCATCATTCAGGAAATAATGAAAAACGGAAGACATCACTTGTAGCCCTTAGCAAGATCTTGTTGATAATATATATATATATATATATAAATGATACTCAGTGACTGGACTCAAGTCAAATGGTTTTCAGAAAAAAGCTCACTGGGAAAAACTGATTTCCCTAGAAAGTAGATGTTTAGCATATATATATAAACAGTTGTATTGTTATTAAGATGTTACATTTTGATCCACAGTTGAATAAAAATGTGCCGATGCTATTATTGCCAATTCTAGCATGAATGATTTTTTTTTTGATATCATATTCTTCATAATTGATTACACTGTTATTTCAGTTTACTTAAATACTCTTGTCAAATTATAATATTTGAATTATTTGAATTGAACTAGGAATCCCAGAAATAACTCAATTGAATTAAGAAGTAAAACACAAGCACAAACGAATGTATTGTATTTGGAATTCGAAATCCAGCATTCCACAAGTACAAAAGTATCATTAGTTCATTTAAACACCACATAAATCTAACCATTTTGATAACATTTTAAATCTACTTGTGTTCACTATTTAT